CACATTGAAACTGCAAATAATACTTTCAAACAAGGAATAGATTTTTTGTAATTTTTTTCGATAGTGTAATTAATACTATGTATGTGTGTGTGTGTGTGTGTGTGTGTATTAATACAGACATGGAGTATTATTTGAGGATTTACTTAAATGTTCACTCTGAGGATCTCTAGATCTTCCAGTTGATTTCTGTGGTCAAATATTCACTGGAGATTCACCACAGGCTCATACTGGATGATCTAGAGATTTCTAGAGGGAACATTTCAAAATCTTTAGATTTGTGTGTGTGTGTCAGGAGCAACTTGAGAAACTGCAAGTTGCTTCTGGTGTGAGAGAATTGGCTGTCTACAAGGAGGTTGTCTGGGGGATGCCAGGATGTGTTACCATCCTGTGAGAGGCTTCTCTCATGTCTCCACATGAGAAGCTGGAGCTGATCTTTAGATCATTCAGTGCCAATCCATGGTCAACTTCTGAAATAACTTGTCAGTAGAGTTGTGCTGGTGGCCCTAGTCACCACAAAAGAAAAATAGTGCCCTCCCCCAGTCATGGTATCTTAATTTTAGGGGGTCCTATGTCCCAAACCCTTTAATGGAGAGACTACCTGCATAGTTTGGATTGTTTTCATATTGCTGTGAGTTTTTTTGGGTTATATGGCCATATTCTATCTGGAACATGGTCATGCAGCCTGAAAAACTCACAGCAACCCAGGGATTCCAGCCATGAAAGCTTTCAACAATAAATTGTTTTAATATTGCATATAGTTTTAATTCCATTGAATGTTTCTCTTTTGGATGAGTTTGGCTGTTTGGGATGAAAGGTGGGATACTATTACTACTACTACTACTACTACTACTGCTATTAATCATAATTTAGCCTTCTGATACTTGAGGTTTATAACATGCATCAGTCCTAGCTGGCATCATCAATAGTGGATTATGTCAATTGCTGCCTCCAAACATCTGGAGAGTAATACTTGCAATCTAAAGCGAAAAAAAGAGCAAGTTACGACGGTGTTCAAAATTTAAAATTACCTTAGAGCATTACTAAGTGAAAGAGACATCCAATATCACTCTCCGGGTGATTCCTTCATCTTCTTGTTGCTTTGTGTCCACACTTGTAGTATTGTTCTGGTTACTCCCAGTATCATTGTTCTGGTTACTATTGTTCTGGTTACTCCCAGTGGTTGGTGCCCTCCTGCACTTTGTAATCCCCATGTAACTCAGTTTATGAGGTTTGCATGGTCAAACAGTCAATGTAATTCTTAGGATTGTGCGCAGATCATTTTTTCTCCATTACATCTGTTCTTTCGTTACTTTCAGGAGCACGTAATGGGAAGGCCCTTCCCAGTACAAAAATGAGCTCAACACAAAAGCAAGTGGGAGCTGATTCTGTCTCCTCGTTTGCTTTTCATGAACATGTGGCACTCCATGCCTCCTTGCCTTGGAAAGAGTGCACGCATGGCGTGCAGGCCCAGAAAGCGTGCGTGCCTGCCTGCAGTCGAGCGCCTCTTCTAGAATAAGAAAGGCAGAACTTTCCTCCTTGCCTTGGAAAGTGTGTGTGTGGGTCATGCAGGCCCAGCACATGCACCTACTTGCAGACAAGTGCCTCTCCTCTAGAGTAGAAATAGGTAAGAAGCCTCCTTAAAGGGCAGCCTGCCTGCAGCTGAGCACCTCTCATCTGGAGTAAAACAGCTTAAATGCCTAAAATGAAGGCAGATCTGGTCAGGGTGGTCCATGCCTTAGTCACCTCCAGATTGGACTACTGTAATACACTCTACATGGGGCTACCCTTGAAAACGGCCCAGAAATTTCAATTGGTTCAATGAGCGGTGGCCAGATTGTTAACTGGTGCCCCTTACAGGGAGCGGTCAACCCTCCAGTTTAAGGAGCTCCATTGGCTGCCGTTCATTTTCTGGTCCCAATTCCAAGGTGCAGGTGCTTACCTACAAAACCCTAAATGGTTTGGAACCCACCTACCTGCATGACCGCATCACTGTGTATGAACCCACACAATCTCTTCGATCATTTGGAGAGGCCCTGCTCATGCTCCCGCCTCCATCGCAAGACAATTGGTGGGGACGAGGGACAGGGCCTTCTCGGTGGTGGCCCCTCGACTCTGGTAGCAGGGTACAAATAAAGTTTAATAATAATAATAACAATGATGATGATGGGAAGGGAGCTTGGGAAGCCCACCCCCCAATGGGCCAATAGACAACAGATCTTTCAGCACCCCCAAGTCAAAACAGATGCCCTCTCGATTTCAGGAGGCGCTCCAAAAATTTATTGGTGCCTCCACTGAAAGCTGGGACATGAAACAGGTCAAAGTTTATCCCAAATGCACAACTTTAGTAATTCTAGGCTGCATCACAAGTCTGAAATAACTGGAAGGCGCACAGCAACCATTCTTCTTTCAATTTCCTAGTACGAAGTCCAAATGGATCTAATTGGATTGTTAAGATAATGAAATTATTGCCATTAACAGAATGACAGATCAAGCAATTGTAATACGCCTTCCTCTTCTACAGCTGCTCTGTGCCTTCAAAAGTTACTTGAAATCTCCCTGGAACACGTTTTGGGTCAGTGCAGATGCATCAGCTCACTGGAAAAGAAATTGTTTTGTAAAGTACATGACAACAGGAAAAGAAGGGGAATGGACTACAGCTAGATTTACTCAATAAAGAAAACCAATAAATAAAACTTCAGCTTGCAAGACCCAAGCATTTTGGCAGGATGTGAGCTGTAAGTTAATCTTAATGTGCATATACGTATATAATATCTTGAGACTGCAACTGTTTCATATTTCCCTGCTTTAATAAAACCACTATTTGTGTGGGTGTGTAAATATTCAGTACTGTACACTAAATACAAGCACAAAAACCACAAACGGCAATGGCAAACTTTTAATAAATAGCTTTACTTTTCATTCCTATATACAAGTACTTTACAGAAAAATCCAGGAGGGAAGAGTACAACTGCCTCACAGAAATGGTGGACATGTTCCGTAGTGCCCTAAATTTATCACAGGCAAATGTGGAGGCATGGGTAGCAAGACCCCACTTCTTCCCACACATATATCTTGAGATCCATGAATATATGTACATGTTCAGCCCTATGTGAAAATGCCACATCCATGTTTCATTCATTTCTGCTTGTTCCAATTTGGAGATGTTCTTTGGACTGAGAAATGATTAACAATAATACAATTAAAAAGTTGCCTTCAAGCCCTACCATATTATGACTGTAGACCCAAAGGGAAAATAGGGCAGATGCTTCTTATGTGTTTACCTTTTGGGATGAAATTGCAAATCTACAGCCTTCTTCTGTGAGGATATATCCTGCTGCCTGATATTTGGTCAACTAGAAGTCCTTCTAAATCCCCTGGCATCAGGTCTCCAAGATCTCTTGGAAACATATTTTCCAACTCCACTTTTACAAATGACAAAGATTGAGTTTGCAATCTTGTGCATGCAAAACATCTCTTATTGTTACACCTCATTCTTTCTTTTATGGATTTCAAGGCATCAATTCACAAGCTCCCTAAGCAGTCCTTCCATGCAGGTACCATGCTTGGATCTGCTTAGTTTCAACAGTTGGTTTATTATGTGTTCTACAGAACCAGCCTCAAGCAAAGGGCATCAATTCATCTGCTGAAGTAAATTGGATCAGCAGGTGAATCTTCCTTCAAAACAATGGAAAATGTCATTAACACATGCGAGAGCAGCAAGTAGAGTAGTTCTGGGGGCTGTCATAAAGGCCATATGATGTTCACAGATCAGGGCTGGGAACTCAAGAGGAAGATTCACAAGTTGCGACTGCTTCCCATCAACATCCCCTGCCGGAGGCTCCTTGCACATTCTGCTCAATGGTAGCACCAGCCCTGCATGCTAGCCAGAGCAAAGGTTCCCCCATAGTTACCATTCATCCCAATATGAATGTCCTCGTGTTTATCTTTCTCAGCCTTTACACTCATTTCTCCTTCTTAGCCTCTGTTGTAACCTACAACTTCACTGGTGTAGCAGTTGGTTGGACCACCCCAAGACCAAACTCACCTGTGTATAAAGGGGTGCAATGTGGTACAGAATAAATTCAGCACTGATGTTAGCACTAGAAATGGTTTGTGTTTGCAATGTTGGTTGTATAGGCTAGTTTTGGATTCAGTGCACAACTTGGACCACAGAATAGTCTATGCACACCTTTCCTGTGGGGCAGGGAAAGGAAAGAAGGCACTGTGAGCTTAGGCCTCAATTAATCTCCCTAAAGGGTTTTGAATTGGATGTTTCTTTTCTGTCTTGGTTCTTTCTGGGGGCACTGAGAATCGGGTTTTTGTATTCACCCATTGATACATTTCGACTTCTCCACTTACATTCCCCTTAAAGTGGTGCAAATGAATCACCTCATATGCCTACATTGCGTACCTTACCATTCCCCAAACTACACAGTGCTGAACTGTGATCATAATCCAACCGTTCTCTGAAGTGACAGACAAATGGGAGATTATCTCTCACAGTAACACTGCATGCTGCGATCCAAAGAGCCATAGGCAGAACTTCTATGCCACCATCAGCTTCTGGATGGCTCAGCACCAAAACCTGGAAGCAAAAGATTTCAGAGTTTCTGCATTAACCCCTTTCTTTCCTACCACTGACTCCGTGTTCATGAGCAGTTCTGTTACAGCACAAACAAATCCAGCTGGATTAATGTTGGCAAGCTCTTTGGATCTCAGCTGACAAGCATGCTCATGGAATGTGAATAAGGCAGAATTTGAATGGCAGGCACCTAAACGTGATTCTTAAATGTAAAGTTCATACACGAATGGCTGAAGATCACAAAACTCTGAAAAATAATACTGGTTTTCTTCTCCCCCACTCCTCCTCTGTTAGTAATATACATTATGTACACGGCAGCTGCAAATTCAAATCTTACTATTCATAATTTTATAGAGATAAATTAGCAATACAGTTTGTGGTTCCACATTAAAAAATAATATTTAGTAAAAGTGTAAAATTTTGGTTTCGCTGATTGGTTGCTATTCCCCCTTCTCCAGCTTCCTCAATCATTTTGTTTACTTTATTGTTTTGATGAATTAATAATATACCTTTTGGGGTTTGTTTGAGCAGCTGATGTACAACCTAGATTTCTAATGGGCAGGAAATAGCCAACCTGCTCAGCTATTTGCTTTCTTGTTCATATCATTTTGGAGTTTCCCTTTGAAATATACAGGTAAATTGATATTGGGAGAAGAGGAAAAGGGAACAGAAGAGGACAAGGGGTTGATCTGACTGCAAAGTGAACCTGCACTTTTTCCCCTCTCCGTTTCAGCTGTTGATGTTGAAAGTCCTGCACTTGGAAATTTTGCATGCACCACGGTACTGGGAACAAAATGACGAGATGACTTCTTTGCTTTCATGAACCCTCTCCTTCCCCACTGCTAAGTTTCATCTTTCTACAGTCGAAGCCCTTGGCAGCTGCCACCTGTCCACTTGCTTCTCATTTCTCCGTGAGGTTCTGTGTGGAGAATGAACACTTGCTGAACTGCTGTTGTCTGCTAGGGCTGGACTGCTATCTAATGAGGCTGAGGAATTGTGGCCAAGGAGAGGGCCACTTTTGGTTGGTGGCTGGTATGGCACTGCCACTGACCCAGAAGTCTTGTTCCTCGCTTGACTCTTCACTCTTCGCTGCAAAGGACCAACAACTCTGGCCCTTCCATAGGTCTGAGGAATAAGGGCATGTGTGTCTTCTGCCGAGAACATCCTGCCCAAAGAACCTGGACCTTCAGGTTGAAGTGAGACTAAGGATGTCGGACCCACCAAAGTCTTTGGTGGGCCTCCGTGGCTGGCCATCATTTCCTCTTCAGTTTCTGCAGCTTCACTGAGGAAGGGAGGTGGAAGGGTGCTGCTACGTTTGCTGCAAGATTCGCAGCACAACTTTTTGTAGCCTGGAATTGAACAATATCGGGCAAGCACCTCCATCTGGCAGAAGATAGACTTATCTCCTTGGCAAGGCTCATCTGGAAGAGAAAAACCCAACACAGGTTATGAGTGGCATCTCAGGGAGAAGCAAGGAATGACTGAAAAGGAACCTGATTGGTCTAAAAACTCTCAAGACATGTTTAGATGATTTCGGTTGTTGAAATAGACCAAAGGCATTAAAATCAAAGAAGCTACACTGCATTGATTCTGAAAGCAATCCAAACAACTGATTTTGATAGTTTAACAAAGTCTCAGTCCTAGCGACTATTGAGACTTAGGATCAGTGGCTATTACCTTAGAATGTAAATGCCAGTAATTTAATGATACTACATTTAACTCTGCATCTATAAAAACAACCATCTATGGCTTGAAAACATTTCTCACCACATACAAAAAATTCTAAAAAGCAAACCTTGATTTTGCCATTTCACAGTACCATTGTATTGAGTCTCCTTGGGGAGATAGGGCGGGTTACAAATATATTATTATTGTTGTTGTTGTTGTTATTATTATTATTATTATTATTATTATTATTATTATTATTATTATTATTATTATTATATAATGAGACTTCAGCATCCACAGAGACCTCCGGAAGCAAATTCCAATGAATACCAAGGGCCTACTGTAATTTAAATACAGACAGACAAAATGTTGTAGTGACTTCCGCACTGGAGATCAGTGTTTGAATTATTACTCTGCCATGGAAATCTAGTGAGTGACCCTGGACAAGTTACACTTTCTCAACTTCAAAGGCAGTGAAAAATCTTTCAAAAGAAAGCCCAGTTATAGCTTTGCCTTAGGGTCATTATAAGACAGCAATTAGCTGGTCACAGTCCCTCTATGGAGGTGAGAAAATCGGGATATAAAAGTTTAAAATAATAAATAAATAAATAACTTAAAGATATACAACACAAAATCTTTAAAAATCACTCTGGATACAGCCTTATATATAATTATAGGAATCTTGTGGTGTTATTACACATGTGAAACCTCCCCCTACATACACTGGCATACTTCAATATATTTTAGGTGGCCATCGTGCAGCTGATGATGACGACGACTTTGGCACATGCCAGTAAAGGGACTCTGGCACAACATTGTCCCAGTGGTGATCAGCACACTGGGTGCAGTGCCTAAAGAACTTGACCTGCACTTAAAAACAATCAGCACTGACAAAATTACCATCTGTCATCTGCAAAAGGCCACCATACTCAGAACTGCACACATTGTTTGCTGATACATCACACAGTCCTAGACACTTGAGAAGTGTCTGATGTGTGATCAAATATAAAAGGCAGCATAGTGATCTTGTTTGCTGTGTATTACTCTTGTCATGTATCAAATAATAAGAATAAGAATTAGAATCGTCATCATCTTTATTTATAGCCCTCCACCATCTCCTCGAAGGGATTTGGGACAACTCACAGAAGCACTACAAGTGCCGAATTACAAATAAGCACTACATAAACTAGAGATATAAGCCTTTATTTACTAATTTCACTCATGATAATAATTTTGTAATAATTGTGCATTGTAATTGCTTATTGGTAATTTATGGATAATGTGTTAAGTCAATTGTTATATGTTGTATGGAACCACTGCTGTTTCTACTGTTTCTACTGTTTGTGAACCGTTGTGAGTCGCCTTCGGGCTTGAGATACAGCGGTATATAAGCAAAGTAAATAAATAAATAAATAATAAATGATGGAAGTAACTAATAATTTTAGCCAATTTCTTTCTGATGCAAGAAAGTATTTGAAGTTAGGAATAATCTTTTCCATGGAACAAATACGGAGTCCTGCGCAGAAAATGCTGTGTACGGGACATTTCATTTGCTCAATGGAAAATATTTCTGTTTTCAAAGGCTTTTGTGCCTTGGTAAGAAAATTGCAAAAATTAGTCATTACTTCCTTTAGCAAAAGAATTATACCCTGCAATTGCCTTACTGGAATAACTGGGATAAATATGCAGACAATAGAAGTGATGAAAATTAAAAAGAAAGAAAGAAGAATAACACATTATTTTCGTCCTCAACCGTGGCAATTGCCTGTGATGCTTTCAGGATATTACCAGCTTTTCCCTATCGGCTCTGCTCTAAGCTTAATAACACTGCTTTTAAAGGGCTATAAATGTACACCTTGGGAGGACACATTAATGGAGCAACTGCTGAAGGTCAGATTAGAGGGGCATTTTAAAAAAATCCCTTATGATTGCACCATTATTTGAAAATCAATTTATGCTGTGTGTTAGTGCGGAGCCTTGAGACCTATTTTAAAGTGGAGTATTACATCTTCGTCCTTAGACATTCATACTTTTTTCTTTGCAGATACATCTGCAGACACTTCATCAAGCAGACAGAAGCATCAGTCTCCCATTAGGAATGCAAACCTTGAATTGAATAGGACGACTTAAAGAAAAATGTACACAACAAGGGCTGCAATTCGGGAGAGATTTTTCAGAGGGCAAGACAACAGAACTTGTCTGATTTTGGAGGATAAGCAGTCTCAGCTCTGGTTAGAAGTTGAATGGGAGACTGCAAATTAATATCGGATGCTGTAAGCTACATGGTATTAAAGCAATGAGGATACACAAAACCCTATTCAAATGAAAGGCTTCTGTTTCAAGAATGCCACAGAGGCACACTGGGAGACCTAAAGCAGCGTATAAAAGGTATATTTTGTTGGATGTGGATAAATGAAATTGTGGATACTGATCTGAAAAACTATAGGGTTGCAATGTAGAGTTCTGTATATAAGGTATCCCACAAAGGACCTCAGGTCTGGCAAAATATTATTAAATAAATAAGGTAGTTGTCATAGGTCTTGCAGTTGTCGGAAAATATTGTATGACTTGTGTGCTCATACATTTCATAGAATCAAGAGTTGGAAGAGACCTCATGGGCCATCCAGTCCAACCCCCTGCCAAGAAGCAGGAATGTTGCATTCAAATCACCCCTGACAGATGGCCATCCAGCCTCTGTTTAAAAGCTTCTAAAGAAGGAGCCTCCACCACACTCCAGGGCAGAGAGTTCCACTGCTGAACAGCTCTCACAGTCAAGAAGTTCTTCCTCGTGTTCAGATGGAATCTCCCCTCTTGTAGATTGAAGCCATTGTTCCGCGTCCTAGTCTCCAAGGAAGCAGAAAACAAGCTTGCTCCCTCCTCCCCATGGCTCCTTAAGCTGCTCCTCATAGGGCTTGTTCTCCAGACCCTTGATCATTTTAGTTGCCCTCCTCTGGACACATTCCAGCTTGTCAATATCTCTCTTGAATTGTGGTGCCCAGAATTGGACACAATATTCCAGGTGTGGTCTAACCAAAGCGGAATAGAGGGGTAGCATTACTTCCCTGGATCTAGACACTATGCTCCTATTGATGCAGGCCAAAATCCCATTGGCTTTTTTTGCCGCCACATCACATTGTTGGCTCATGTTTAACTTGTTGTCCACGAGGACTCCAAGATCTTTTTCACACGTACTGCTCTCGAGCCAGGCATTGTCCCCCATTTTGTCTCTTTGCATTTCGTTTTTCCTGCCAAAGTGGAGTATCTTGCATTTGTCACTGTTGAACTTCATTTTGTTAGTTTTGGCCCATCTCTCTAATCTGTCAAGATCGTTTTGAATTCTGCTCCTGTCCTCTGGAGTATTGGCTATCCCTCCCAATTTGGTGTCGTCTGCAAACTTGATGATCCTGCCTTCTAACCCTTCATCTAAGTCATTAATAAAGATGTTGAACAGGACCGGGCCCAGGACGGAACCCTGTGGCACTCTGCTCGTCACTTCTTTCCAGGATGAAGAGGAAGCATTGGTGAGCACCCTCTGGGTTCGTCCATTTAACTAATTACAGATCCACCTCACTGTAGTTTTGCAAAGACTAAATTAATCCAAAGACTAAATTAAAACAAAACCAGCAAGCTATTTGCATAGTAAAACCTTAAAATATCTAGTTTTTAAAACTCATTAAGGATACAATTCTCTATCACCTATTTGGAAATATATCTCACTGACTGCCTTCTGACTCGGCCTGTATAGAATCATCATACTGTATAAAGGAGGCACCTCCAGGGATGACCTTCAAAGGCAGAGCTTAGAAAACTTACTTCTTTAGAGAAAACCTCACAGAATCTCAAAGAATGAAATTGTATGAAAGGAATGAAATTGTATGAAAGGAATGAATGAATATGAGATAATAATTTTGGAGACACCATTCCTAGAAAACAACTGCCTGCTTGCTGAACTGTAATTAAAAGCTGCTGATGAGAACTGTGGCAATGATTAACTCTTGAACTTTTGGGGAAAAACAACCTGCTTACATCTGTTTATCAGAGACAATGGCTCTTTTAAGTTAAGGAAATGTTTACAAGATTCCTTACGTTAAGAAGGAAGTCAACACAAGGCTTATGTTTGCCATCACCAATTAAGAAGAATCAACATCTGTCCAGGAAACTGAGATGAAATCAACATGTTTCAGGCTGGAAAGACATCTACATCAGTGAAATATTGCTATATAAGAGACCTAATTACAATCCAAAAATGGTGACAGACAGCGGCACTATTCACCCGATATGCTCTGCTCCATTGGAAAGGATAGAGATAATGTACTTTGGAGTGTCAGATCTGCAATGGAACGCAGTCTGTACACTTTGGCTCCTTTTCTCAAGAGAAGAGGAATGAGTGCACTTTGGCATTGTGCTTAGGGAAAGCATGTGTTTTGGTGTTTTAGAAGTTCTAGAAGTTTTGGTGCATTGCCAGATTTGCAAGGAAGCAGACTGGCTTAAGAGATGTTATTCACGGTGGAAGAATGGTAAAATGGTGATGCACAAATGTTTATATGGATAATGTGAATGCTAAGTAAAAATATAATTCCCCTTTGTTTGTTAGCCGATGTAACTGTAGGTTGTTTGTAAATCCAATGTAGTGGCATAGAATCTATATGTTCTCTATGTCTAAATGATGTTCTGTAAAAGTTCTGATACCTTTTCCCTTACTGGAAAATTGCATTAAAAAGAACCTATGCTTTAAAGTTACTGAAAAGTTATTCATAACACATTCTGGCCTGGAGATTCTGGGAGGTGCTGGGCAAAAAAGTTACTTTTCCAAGCTCTCCTATTAAGTTTGCATGCCACCAAAAATTAAGGGCAGAAAGACACCTTTCATGTAGTGTAGGATTCGTCTGTAGTATTTGCTTCTCCGTATTCTAATGATGGCATCTAGCTCAGACAACCTAAGACACAGATGTGTATACCACCACATCTTAAAGAGAATATATTAATCTTTCTACTACAATTCCCTCATTTTACTTCATTCTAGCACAGGCAGTGCCTGAGTTACAAAGATCCAAATTACAAATGACTCCAAGGTCCCTTCTACACTGTCCTTATATCTCAGAATCTGATCCCCCAGGTTATCTACATTGAACTGGACTATATGAGTCTCCATCGCCAGATAATCTGGGATAAACTGATAACCTGGGATCAGGTCCTGGGGTATAAAGACAGATTAAATGGGCCATAATTAAGAACATGGCTGAGATAACAGGAAGTGAGAGAAGTCAACCCTTAGGAAGAGAAATTTACCCCTGAAAGAGTTATCATGGGGAAAAGGTGTCTCCACTGAAGCTTTTTATCACCAATACTTATTTCCATAACAAGCCACATTTTTCAAAATCCAGTTGTCACAAGGACAGAAAGTGAGATGAAATTTTCTGAACAGGGGCACAGGCAGCAAAAGAAACACCACAGAGGTGTTTAACCCTATCCAAAGCTTGTGTGTGTATATATGTGTGTGTCTAGACATCTACCTATCTATCTATCTATCTATCTATCTATCTATCTATCTATCTATCTATCTATCTATCTAAACTATCTCTCTATTGGGAATTACACTTCAAAAATGTACCTGTTCCAACTTACATGCAAATTCAATTTAAGAACAAACTTACAGAACCTATCCTGTTTGTTACTTGGGAACTGCCTGTTTATGGATACCAGATCTCCTCTGTCCCTTTCTTCTCAAATATCATTAAAAGGTTTCAAAATCATACAGAAGCTTCTGAACTGTGGTCTCACCCAGACATGGGCAAAAATGTACCTCTAATTGCTTCTGGATTGCAACTCGCATCAGCCCCAGCCTAGCAAGCCAATGAGGCAAACTAGAATCTGGAAGGCCACAGTTGTCCACGTCTTGTTGAGCCTTGTGTGAACATTCTTTGGAAGTCAATTCATTCCCCGCCCCTCCTCCCCGGGCATTGTTGCCTTATTATGTTTCAGCAATGCAAAAACACTGCAGGTTATGTACTTCATAAAACAAACGAGGTTTATCTCCCACCACCACCACCCTATTTGTTGCAGGAAAAAAATGGTGAATCTTTTAGTTCCATAAATGACTTTTCTGCTTCTAGGCAAAACAAAAACCCAGGCATTCTCAGAATGTAACAAAGCACTAACAATACCCTGGGCCTAGCTAGATGTGATTTTCGAAGTTCTGTAATGAGCCCTCCTACAGCTTTTTTGTTACTTTGTTTTTGTTTTTGTTTGTTAGTTAATGGTGGAACTACATAGGAGAGAGGAAGAAATCCAGAATGAGTTTGAAAAGCTAGTGCATTTAACTCTCAGCTTCCTCTCATTTTCCTGGTCCAAATCCCCTCTGTTCTCAACACATACACACATTATGTGTTGTAAGTAATTGTAGCCTGTGTTTCCAGAGCTAGAGCTACAGCACCCAGAATCCCCAAATAAGCACAGTGGTGTTGGCTGGATGATTCTGGGAGTAACAGACCTAAAAGGAGGCTTTCCAAGATCTGGTTTTAACCATAACTCTAGGTTTCATCTCATTTGCCTGGCATGGGTTTGCAAATCTTGATCTACACAGGTTTCAACAACTCCATTTGTAAACAGTCCCCAGACACCCATGGAAACTCACTGGATGAGGCTGGGAAAATCACATTCTCTCAGCCGTAGAGGATGGCAAAGGTAAACTCCCTCTGAACAAATATTGCCAGGAACATCCAATGATAGATATGTATTAGGAGCACTATAAATCAAAACCAAAGTGAGGATACACAACAAGATAGACCAGGCTTTAATTGTCTATCATGCACCCCTGACAGATGGTCATCCAATCTTTGCTCCTCCACAATCCCAGGCAGAATATTCCACTGTGAAACGGTTCTTACCATCAGAAGTTCTTTCTGATTTTTAGGTGGAATCTTTTTTTCCTGCAATGTGAATCCATGGCAGTGTGTCCTACTCTCCAGAGCAGCAGATATCAAGCTGAACCCCTCCTCAATGTGTCGTCCTTTTAGATATTTAAACATGGCACTCATGTCCCCTTTTGGCTTGCTTTTTTCCAAGCTAAACATACCCAGCTCCTTACACCATTTCTCATAGGGCTTGGTTTGACCAAAGCAGAATGAAGTGGGACTAGGATTTCTCTTGATCGCAACACTATATTCATAATTATGCATTCTAGAATTGTATTGCTTTTTAAGCTATTGCATTTATATTACATAGATGCAATAGCTTAAAAAGCAATACAGTGTAATATAATTTGACTGGTTGTCCTGAGACGACAAATAAAATAAAATAAATAACCTATTGCATCACACTGTTGACTCGTGTTCAGCTCATATACAAACACCCTAAAATGATCACTTATTCATTTATTAAATGAATATAGATAAAAATATGCACATTCATTTTATAGTTGTTCCAGTGATTTGGAAGGAACGGATGGATCCAAGCACATCACTGCACAGATCAGTTTCTTAATATGGTGTCTCTTAGATTTCATGCTTGTAGAAGAATAAAACTCCTGTGGGATTCAGGGTTGAAGGAACTCTCCAAGGTGCTGAAACCATTTTTCTTTGGAGATTCTTTAAAGTCTGCATTCTGTCAAATTAGGCCCATCAGGTTACAGCCTCAATGACCTTGGGCTCAAGGGAAAGGTCTGTAGACCTTTCCTGTCAAACTAATGATAATATGAAAAAGTCATGACCATTATTGTCATCATTTCTCCTTTTCATTCCTGGCTTCTTAAAAATGTCTCCTGGATACAGAATCTCATAAAATTCTCCTCAACTCGTCCCCTTAAAATAAAATCCCAGCCACCTTACCAGCTGTTATGAATTGTGCGAGCTGAAGTCCAAGACCTGGAGGTGGACAGTTTAAGAAACACTGATGTAGATTGTTTGAACTTCAGCTCCAAGAAATCCTGACCATTGACCAGGCTGCCAAGGAATTCTGGGAGGTGAAATACTGAATGCCTGATGGGCCAAAGTCTGAGAGCTAATGATCTAGAAAATCTTCTCAGAGATGTTTGGGTCCTAACAAAGTAATATTACAATATGAAATTTGGATGCAATGGGATCTGGTAACATGTTAAAGACACTTCACAGACTGAGGCTCCTTCTACATTAGAAAAGAAAAATGGGTTCCCCTAACACTGTGGAGACTCAAATCCACTGATTGTGGTAATATGAAAATAACTAAATTAACTAAATGTATATATTACACATACACATATCAAAGAAACAGGACTGCCACATTCACATAAAGTAGAAACAACTGGTCTTCTTTTGAAATATAAAGCACAGTCTTCATATGAGTAAATGTCCTGTCCTTTATTCCTTCTACATTGCCATAGAAAATCTAAATTATTTGCTTTGAACTGGATTATATGACAGTGTAGACTCATATAATCCAGTTCAAAGCAGATAATCTAGATATAAGGGCCCCAAGTCTACTTCTTCAGGTTCAAACATCAGCTACTAATTTTGTTCTCTCAACCTCTAAGATGCTACAAGATCATTTTGGATACTGATATTCCAGACAAACATGGTTACGGAGTTTGGAATTTGTTTTACAGACCATCCTATATCCCTGGCATTTTTTGCACTTAGTGCCCACTTCTTATATGGATAGATTCAATGGTTAAAACACACACCATATCTTCTCAAATTGAATGATATCTTTCATGGCAGCTGAGGAAATTGAATGTAATAACACACATTCGGTTTGTGAAACTATCTTGCTAAATGTTCAACAGTGCATTGGTCTGGATTGGGAAAGAAATTTTGGTTGCCTGAGGGATGTTTTTTGAGCAAGAATGTGCGAGGGACTGATAGCACAGTTTTAAAAACAATGTTCTTTTTAAAGAAAAGGAGACCTACAGTTAGAATAGTCAACACTTTGCTTCCCTCTAGTGACCAAATAAGGCTAAAGCACTTCAGGTTTCATAAAGTTACATGAAACACCAGAATCTAGTCAATCCCATCCTCATGTAACTTGGGATAATATCTTGCTTACCATTACATGGGGCTAGCTTGCAGACTCTCACAGATTCTGGTTTCTCCCCATCACATTGGTCACCAGCACGGCATAAGATTTGCCTGGACTCTGTTCCTTCACCACAGGTCACAGAACACTATGGAGAAAACCAACACAGTACTATGGAGGAGAAAAAGATCTTTCTGCAATCATATTCTCAAAATAATTGCATTTTTTGTCATGTCAGGAGCGACTTGAGAAACTGCAATTCACTGCAAGTCACTTCTGGTGTGAGAGAATTGGCCGTCTGCAAGGACGTTGCCCAGGGGATGCCTGGATGTTTTGATGTTTTATCATCCTTGTGGGAGGCTTATCTCATGTCCCCGAACGAGGAGCTGGAGTTAATAGAGGGAGCTCATCCGCGCTCTCCCCGGATTCAAACCTGCGGCAAGCATCCTCAGAAGTAGTGAGGTCTAGGTAGACCTCACTATCTCTGAGGATGCTTGCCATAGATGCAGGTGAAACGTCAGGAGAGAATGCCTCTAGAACATAGCCATATATCCTGAAAAACCTACAACAACCCAGTGATTCCAGCCATGAAAGCCTTCGACCATCCATGATAGGTTCACTTTATAATCACCAGAAGTCAGAAAAGGCTTGAAGGGACATAACAATATCCCACCCATTGTGTTGAGAATATGAGCATATTTCCATATTCGTTTGCACATTAGCAAGGATTACATCATAATCAAATGCACAAAAATGTGCATATTCTACAATAATCATTAAAAAGGGGCACAGCATTTAGAAAACAAGGTAGAATAATATTTAGACAATTGGGGAAAGCTGGAAAATTTGCTAAATTGCAAATAAAGGTGGAATTTAGGGATATGTAAATTATATGCTCCATTTTCAGGGCAGAAAATGAATTCAAAGTTTTGCAATCCACCATGACATCAATGGAATTAGGACTGAGAAAAACGTCACATTCTCTAGAAAATGCAGACACGTCTTTATGCAGCTATAGCTCCCACTGTGGAGAGTCTAAACTTGCAAAGAATAATTGGATCTGGGATTTCTAAATCAACAATTGTACTTAATAAGTCCTCCACATTTGTGGATTTAACATGGATTTGACAAATATGTTCTCTGGAGGAATGTTTAGATGCTCTAGTGTGATTTTCACAGGGATTCTGAATTCAATTTCATGGGGCTCCTGCATTCTTAACTTCTCTGAAAGTGGAGGGCCTACTAGACTTTTTAATAACTCAGCCACAGAAGACCTGCTGGTGCTTACTGGACTCCATGGCCATGTTTTCCACTGAGCAGGACACGGCGTTCTGTTGCAAGGCCTACGACTCTCCGGCCGATCCCCACTGCAGTACTTGAAATGCACAGAGCGGTTAGCACCATCATGAAGTGGCTGAATGCAACGCACTGTTCGGATCTGGTAGCCAGATGCCCCACAGGTTTTGGTGCAGTGTTCCCATTCTTCTGCAACCCAGCTGTGGTGGAGAAGGGAAGAGTTATTAAACTGCAATATGCTAAGCACTCCAAATTGTAATTGTGCATGCATGCTCAAATATCTGATGATTCGTGAATATCTGAGCTCCCTGGAAGCAGAGCTCCACAGATAATAAAAGTTTTAATGATCTGCAGCTAATTTAGTAGCTTAAAAGGAAAAAGCTTGTGTGGGATATATAATCATTTACAAAACAGCATCTAGCTCATTAGATTCCCCCTCACCCCAACTCAGCTAGAATAATTTTTCCCACTTGCTAAGAAACAGATCCCTGTGAAGCATGGGGAAAAGAAACAAAAACATCAGTAAGGGGGTTAAATATCTAAGGACACCAGAATCTGTTTGATCTTGGAAGCTAAGTATGGTCAGCCCTGGTTCATACTTGGATTATTATTTTGTGTCAAAAGCATTGCATACATAAATAAGTATAAAACTGATAATATAAAGGGAGCACAAGCAACTAAATAATTTTAGATCAAAAATGGGCAACAGCAACCACACTGACTGCAGCTTTAACAGTTCTTCCTGTGTGCATGAGGCAGAGCATTGTTAGCAAGCATACAGATAATGAGTTGTTTGTTCTGCTCCACAGTCACACAACTTGGAGGATTCTTCTAGGTCAGTGGTTCTCAACCTGGGGTCTCCAGATGTTTTTGGCCTACAACTCCCAGAAATCTCAGCCAGTTTACTAGCTGTTAGGATTTCTGGGAGTTGAAGGCCAAAAATATCTGGGGACCCCAGGTTGAGAACTACTGTTCTAGGTAGTGCTTGGATGGGAGACCACCAATGAACTTTGGGTTCTGTAGGCTAAATTTTAGAGGAATCAGCTGGTAAGACCAGCTCTGAGGAAAACCTTATGAAATTCATGGTGTCACCATAAGTCAGCCGGTCATTTGAAGGCATATGTACATGCACAATATGCCGCAAGAAGCACTTGGAGTGCTTCTTGCGGCAACACCAGAAGCACTCCAAGTGGCCAGATACTGGTCAAAGGACATTTAATCAACTACCAAGCTTGCAAACTCTGTGTCTTTTGTATGTTTGTTTGTTTGTTCTGTCAAAAATATAATACAACTGTTCGGTTGCCTGACACAATAAATAAAATAGTAAAATCCCAGCTTTGCCTGTTAGCAGGCAGAAATGAAATTAACTCCATATAAACATGTTTTTTTCTTTCAAAAATGAATTCTGTTAGACTTTAATTTTGATCTTTTTCTGAAACTTTTCATTATTTATTATATCATCCGTCTTACCATCTGGAACTAGAGTTGGGTAAGAAAACACCCAACCTAATTCACGTTTCATAGACTTGCACACAGATGCAAATACAGTATACTTTCCCATTTTTAGTGGTGCAATCTTCAAATCATGTGCTCAAAAAAGTGGATATTAAGGGGAATAATGAAATCTCCCTTAATATATGAATATGAATCTTCAATTGGAAAAGTCACTTTTCTGGACAATTGCGATGCCTACCTAGTAACTGTTTCAAGTTTTGAAACCAAAGAAAGTTTAGTGAAAACTGACAGATTTGTCCACCCCCAGGTGTGACCTTAGAAAGGTCTCAAGATACTGAAAAGCAATGCTGAGTGTCATTTTGCAGACTGATGTCACTGGTGCAGACGAGTCACTGAAAGTGAGTAGATACTTACAAGGGTTGTGTACATTCCTGGAGATTGCACATCCTGCGAATAGGTTTGGGTTTCTTACTGGCTTCACAGAAGCCACGGTGAACCATTTTACTATCACTCTTTCTGCGGCATCCATACTTGGTGTATTGAAAACCTAGAAGAAAAGTAAAATACAAACAAATTGTGATGATTTCCATGCCAGGTGCAAGCAACAATCAAACATTTGAGAAAGTGAACCACAGTGGAAATGCCCTACTTCAATTGCTATCAAAGATCAGGTGCGAAAGGAGAGGATGAATTCCCCAAGAAATACGATTGTGATGGCGTTGTATCACAGCAAATAACACTATGTCACAAAATTTGAAACATTTTCTGTTCCTGGTTTGAAAGTTTTATTTCTGTTTAATTGCACAGTATGTACTTTGAAAGTAGTCATGTCAGGAGCGACTGCAAGTTGATTATGGTATGAGAGAATTGGCTGTCAGCAAGGATGTTGCCCAGGGGATGTTTTTTTTATGTTTTACCATCCTTGTGGGAGCCTTCTCTCATGTCCCCACATGAGAATCTTGAGCTGACAGAGGGAGCTCATCCGCACTCTCCATGGATTTGAACCTCTGACCTGTCAGTCTTCTGTCCTGCCAGCGCAAGGGTTTAACTCATTGTGCCACTGGAAAACTGTTGCTTAACAACTTCTAGAAAACTGTGTGTTCCTCTTTCTGATCGAAAAACATGTTGCTTCCTCTGACTGGCAGTACATAAAATTCTCACATTCTGTTATTCTTTCCAGTTAGTTTACAAGCATATTTAGACACCCATTTTTTAGCCAGGAAACAAATTACAGTGACCATACAAGCTGTTCAACAGTGGAACTCTCTGCCTCGGAGTGTGGTGGAAGCTCCTTCCTTGGAAACCTTTAAACAGAGGCTGGATGGCCAACTGTCAGGGGTACTTTGATTGTGATTTTCCTTCAAGGTAGGAGGTTGGACTAAATGGCCCATGCGATCTCTTCCAATTCTAATATAAATAAAAATGTAATGTTCGTTTGTGGGGATTAACAGAACTCAAAAACCACTGGACAAATGGACACCAAATTGGGACACAAGACTCCTAACAACCCAAGGTATGTCCTTCACTCAAAAAAAATCGATTTTGTCATTTGGGAGTTGTAGTCGCTGGGATTTATAGTTCACCTACAATCAAAGAGCATTCTGAACCCCACCAACGATGGAATTGAACCAAACTTGGCACACAGTTCTCCCATGACCAACAAAAATACTGGAAGGGTTTGGTGGGCAGTGTCCTTTGGTTTTGGAGTTGTAGTTCACCTACATCCAGAGATCACTGTGGACTCAAGCAATGATGGATCTGGACCAAACTCTACATGAATACTCAATATGCCCAAATGTGAACACTGGTGGAGTTTGGGGAAAATAGAATCTTGACATTGGGGAGTTGTAGTTGCTGGGATTTATAGTTCACCTACAATCACAGAGCATTCTGAACCCCACCAATGGTAGAATTGGGCCAAACCTCCCACACAGAACCATGTGGGCCACAGCAACGCGTGGCAGGAGATGGCTAGTGATTTTATAAATATTTTTTTCTATCCTGACATTATAAAAAGTAGACCTGTTAGCATCATCTTGCATCACACCTGTGTGACGTTTCAAGAGGTTTCCATTCACAGATCCATCCCTTTCTACAGGTGATTGTGTCCAGATACAACATACACATACACACAAGCCAACTTTTACTCCCTTCCCATCATTAATGAACACTTGCCTCCACCACAGGCCTTGGAACACTGGGACCAACTCTTCAAAGCCCACTCAAATGTATCGAGCTCTTCTTGAAGGACATTGTTGCTATTGACATTGGGCACAGAATCCTCATGAATGATATATTTGTAAGTCAGACTAGACTGGGTGTCATTGTCTTGAGGAATGATCTGTAAGAGAAGGAGAAAAGGACAATTTGTCAGTGTCGAAAAGGATGGCATCTCCCTTAGCATTTAAAAATGAATACACACCGCAATATGAAAGTAAGGCCCTAAATCCAATTACTAAACTCGAGTTACTATGTAATCACCTATAGAATAATACATCAACAATTATGCATATCTCACTGATTCAGTAGTTCTACCCTACTTAACAAAGCAATTGAATTTAAGCATTTGCTCTAACTCTCAAGAGGTGAAGATCTACCTATGGGTACACACACTTCACAACCACCTGTTTTACTATGGTCTTTTCTTCTTTTTACAGTTAATTACCCTAAATTGTATGTTATTGCTCGATATAGAAGACCCATTGATTAATGGGACCTAACTATGTGTTGACTCACAATTGGGTGGATGGGCCTAGCTTAGTCAGAATTATCTAACATGAAACCAGCTAATATGTCTTTTACCTCGTTGTTAGTCCTAATTAGAACAGATATCTATATAAATAAAAATGTAAATTTCTGTTTGTTTGAAACCTTAAATTTCCCAAAATACTTCACCAATTGCTTTGAAATTTTGACACAATGTAGCATTTGAACAGGCACATGTTTTTATGTTTTCTATGCTTACTATTATATAGATGTCACACCTGTGACAGCTAAAAATGTGCTTTTTCTCAAAAACAGTGCCATCTGCTGGACATCAAAGCAACACGCACTATACAACATATTTTATGATTCTATTTCAATCTTTCTGACTGTATTGAATTTTCATAGATTTTAATTTAGTTTCATTTTGATTTAATTGCATTGGAATTGATATGTGTCATTTCCATAGCGTTCATTTTGTGAGTATAGTTTATCGATGTTCTTCTTTGCTTCGGCACTACTTACTCTGCCCTGAGGGGTGGGGGGTGGGGGGGTGGGATTGTGTGGGGTCATGCATTGGGGGTGGGCCTTGAGGCTGCACCTTCAACCCCCCCCCCCCAATGCTACTTCTCTGCCTCAGCCCAAAGTTGCACCCGAGGAAGAGGGAGTGCACCTCGGCTACTCACCCACTCAGCCAGGCCTCTTTGGGCAGGTAAGGCAGGCCTTGCCCTTGTGCTCTGTGTGTTTACTTGGCTGCGTGGGCATGCTTATCACACCCCCTCTACTGGGTTTCCCTAACTTCAGTCCCCCCCTTTAAAAAGTCCTTGCTGTCAATCATTGTCTCATCTGGGGAAGGGGTTCCTACCTCTTTCTCTCCTCAATGTCACTCCGCCCTCAAGAATTCAACTGTATGTTTATTATTTCATTCATTGGGGCTCCTTTGGGCACCCTGTGTCTTTCCTTAAGCCCCTTTCCACATTGTTCTGGGTTCTATGGCTGAAAGGAAGGACCCTAAGTCTTCACAGACATATAATCCACTACAAAGCAGACATTGTGGATTATCTGCCTTGATATTCAGGGTTGAAGATGCCCTCATTCCTCACATTTCTATGATTCCTATGGAAATGCCATTTCTATTTAAGAGACTGCAATTCCCAATTTGATTGGTGTTTGCCATCACCATCAACAAAGCTCAGGGCCAAACTTTAGAATTGTGTAGTTCAGATCTAGATAAGGATTGCTTCTCATATATTGCGTGTTCTAGAGTCAGAAAACCAGACAATCTCTATATCTGCACAGACAGTGGAACAACAAAAAATATTGTATATCCACAAACATTGTGAAATTAAATATATTAGAAACCTGCTCTTTTTCTTTTCTCCCCCCCCCCCCACAATTTAACCAGATTGGGCCACAGCAACGTGTGGCCGGGGACAGCAAGTATTGAATAAATGGAATTTACTTATATACTGACTCACCATTCAGCTATTTTATGAGTCTATTTATGAGTCTATTATATTTGGGACAATTCACTAGTATTCAGACCTTCACCAGCATTGTTGGTTTAAGGTTCATCCAGACCCTGGTTGTTTCAATCCAAACTCACTTCTCTCAATCCAACCCTAGTATACTTCATAAATAAAACAACACTTTCAAATACAAACCTGTAAATTGGAATTTTCTAATGGGTCCCTCACCAACTAAATGAAACATAGCCCATCTTTATACCGAAAGCTACCATGTGCCTGAAATCCCACATATGCACAGTGCTTTGCATTTCTAGGCAACCACAGAAAATAATTGATGTCTCCTATTAAACATCATTTTTAACATAATTGATAACAAGTCGGACAAAACCATTATTGAACAACAGCATGGCGACATTCTCAATAGTTATGTAAGGGAAAAAATCCCAACTCTATTTGGCCTGGGAACCAAAGAATAAGCCCTACCATCTACTCATGAAATATTGTGAAAGAGGGAAGGTCGTATTACTTACCAACACAACAACAGCATCATACAGTGGCCCATCAGTCTGAAGTGTTTCAATGTCATCTTCTATGTGATATTCCCATTCTAAGCCCAGATCAATGAAGGAACGAGAGCTGGACCCCTCTCCTTTGCCATTCAGAATATAGTGGCCTGTTGCTTGGTTCTTAATAGCTGTAAACAGCAAAGCCACAAGTAGTTGATCAACTGTTGTTATATCAATTGGAAGATGACAATTTTTTCCCTTAAAGTCAGCACACAATATGTTTGCAGTTCTTCCAGTTGCTATCATTTTGCAAATCCAGAGATTCAGAGAATGTATCTCCCCTTGTCACAACTAACGGTCTGGATGAGGGCGAACAAACTGAAACTAAATCCAGACAAGACAGAAGTACTCCTGGTCAGTCGCAAGGCCGAACGGGATATAGGGTTACAGCCTGTGCTGGATGGGGTCGCACTCCCCTTGAAGGCGCAGGTTCGCAGCTTGGGTGTGACCCTGGATTCATCGTTGAGCCTGGATCCCCAGGTTTCAGCGGTGACCAGGGGAGCATTTGCACAGCTTCGGCTCGTGCGCCAGCTGCGCCCGTATCTCGGGAAGTCTGACTTGGCCACGGTGGTACACGCTCTGGTCACATCCCGGCTTGACTACTGCAACGCTCTCTACGTGGGGCTGCCCTTGAAAACGGCCCGGAAGCTTCAGCTGGTTCAGCGTGCGGCAGCCATGTTACTAACTGGAGCGGGATACAGGGAGCACACAACACCCTTGTTGTCCCAGCTCCACTGGCTGCCGATTTGCTACCGGGCCCAATTTAAGGTGCTGGTGTTGGCCTACAAAGCCCTGAACGGCTCCGGCCCAAAATACCTTTCAGACCGCATCTTGGCCTATGAGCCCACGAGGACCTTGAGATCGTCTGGGGAGGCCCTTCTCTCGATCCCGCCTGCCTCACAGGCACGCCTGGCGGGGACGAGAGAGAGGGCCTTCTCAGTGGTGGCCCCCCGGCTGTGGAACACTCTCCCTACAGACATCAGGCAGGCGCCCTCCCTTTTGTCCTTCCGAAAAAGCCTCAAGACGTGGCTGTTCGAGAGGGCATTTAATTAAGTGCTATAGTAATGTGGTAAAGACGACTGGAATGGTACAAGGAATACGAGATTGGTCACGATTCTATTACGAGACGAAGCGGTTTAGTTAGTGTAATTTTAACTGTTGTATTGTTATATTGCTAATATGTTGTTTGTAATTGCTTTGGTGTGAATTGCCTTTTGTACTGTACACCGCCGTGAGTCGCCCGAGTGGGCTGAGAATGGCGGTTAATAAATGAACCAAATAAATAAATATCATTTTAATTACTCATGGGACCATTGTATAGAACTCTAGGACTGTTCGGCTGGTGAAGTACCTACAATTCTCTATTAAAGTGTTTCTCAGACATGTTGGACTTTGGTTCCCACAATTCCTAAGAGCTGGTAAACTGGCTGGGATTTCTGGAAGCTGAAGTCCAAACCACCAGGAGGAGCAGAGTTTAAGAAACACTACTCTGTTCAAAAGATCTATTACTGTAGTTCAAGAGGTAAACTAGAAATCTCTAGTGGATAATTTAAATAGCTCATCAAAGTACAAATCTCAGGATTATTTAGGGTAGAGCTATGGTATGTACAACAATATCAAACCATTATAATGGGTTGTTGTGAGTTTTCCGGGCTGTATGTCCATGTTCCAGAAGCATTCTTTCCTGATGTTTCACCCCTCAACCTCTGAAGATGCCTGTCATAGATGTGGGTGAAAGTTCAGGAAAGAATGCTTCTGGAACATGGCCATACAGCCTGGAAAACTCACAGCAACCTAGTGATTCTGGCCATGAAAGCCTTTGACAACACAAATCATTATAACTATGCAATGTGGATATACCCTCAAACTTTATCTTCTTTGGGGAAATTCTCCTCTAGATTTAATTAATGGCTCAAATTTATTCCAGGTTCAGAGGAGAATACAGTGCCCTTTGTGCAGGGAACACATAAAGCATGTATGTGTTTAAGAATGAATGCATATTTTGATGCTTTTTTTAAAAAAAAAAATCTATTAAAAATCACTGGCTGAAAAAGACATTAGCTGGAACAGAGCTTTGACAAAATATATAACAGCTAATGAAGTCCCATTTTGGAATGACAACTGCAGACTCTTGAAGCCATCATGAGTGCTAACCAAAACGAATGTTGACAAGGTGTGTGGAAAACTGACATGGAAGCACACTGATTTGCCCATTCCTTATTAATATTTATTCACTGTACATTTTAGAATAAGGAATGAAATTTCATTGGGTTTGGTGGTCTTGCGGAAAGCAGAAACTTTGTATCTCCTAAGACATGTCAGAAGATGAACAAAATGCACACTGGTGAGGATTGTAGTCTATTTCCAAGATGCAGAAATTACCTTGAATAATGCACATATTTAAAACGCAAACAACTACACACTTTAACCAGTCAGAAGCATTGCAGAAATAAATGTGCACATAAAGAAAAATGCATTGAAATATGCCTGAATTTCAGTTCAGGAGAGAAATCACAACTTTTCAAATTGAGAAGAAGAAGGAGCTTACAGGTGAGATTCAGAGACTGAATGAAATGGAAAGAAGGCAATTTGCATTCCAGTTTTGAAACACACTAGACTAGAATGGACCAAGTTCATTTCAGAATAGGAATGCAAATGTGAAAAGTGTGGTTATACATTTTATATCACATTTTTCCAGTTCTTTTCATAAATGCTCATAGTATATGATTTCCAAGCTGTGCTTTTGAATCCTTTCTGTCCTTTTAAAAAAGTTACTTAATGCAAAGATTGATGCAAAGCTTAAGTTTGGAAAGAAAACTGGTAAAGAGAGAAGTTGTTAATCCCAACAGACAAGGAATGAAGTCCTTATCACCTCAATTTATGGAATGATATGGGCAGGAAAGAATAAATATCATCTCTCAAGATTAATGGCACAGGCAATGACAAGAAGCGCCTGCTGGAAAAGAACTTGGGTAGTGGCCACCTGCCTTCAAGAAAACCCTTGCAGATTTCTCAAAACTGGGTTGGAGAGCTTCCCATAGCAAATAGGAAAATGTATCTTTTCTACTATTTCTGTACCATGCTATCTCTGAGTTGCTGAAATTTCAGATGGCCTGTAGATATTTAGTCTTTGCTGAGACTGAAAACTGACACAAATTGCTCCTAACTGAACAGTATGAGATGAGAAGGGGGACAATATGCAATGTCATGTTATTATCTATGCCTCCGAATGGAACTTTTGAATGCAATCACTTGAACTCATTTCAAGGGGGACTTGGGGGAAAAAGTCACATTTATGTCATGGCTGTGACTAATTCGTAACGGTTATTCTTAACTGCGGTCAAGTTGATTTCAACCGATGGCAACTCCAGGAATGGGAGACCTCCAAGTCACCCTTTCATCAACTCTGAAACATGACTTGTGGCTTCTTTGATGGAAGCTTTCCATCTGGAATGAGGTTTTTCTTTATTCCTATTGATTTCTCTTACCAAGCATTATTATCCTTTTAAGTTAGTAATTTCTGACCATGATGAGGCCAAATTACAAAAACCCCAGTTTAGTTATCTTGAATTTTCGAGGAGAGTTCAGTCTTGATTTACTCTCAGAGCCAGTCCATGGTATCCACAGAAATTTTTTCTACCATTACATTTCAAATGTGTTGATTTTCTTCCTATCATAGAATCAAAGAGTTGGAAGAGACCTCATGGGCCATCCAGTCCAACCCCCTGCCAAGAAGCAGGAATATTGCATTCAAATCACCCCTGACAGATGGCCATCCAGCCTCTGTTTAAAAGCTTCCAAAGAAGGAGCCTCCATCACACTCCAGGGCAGAGAGTTCCACTGCTGAACAGCTCTCACAGTCAAGAAGTTCTTCCTCATGTTCAGATGGAATCTCCTCTCTTGTAGTTTGAAGCCATTGTTCCACGTCCTAGTCTCCAAGAAAGCAGAAAACAAGCTTGCTCCCTCCTCCCTGTGGCTTCCTCTCACATATTTATACATGGCTATCATATCTCCTCTCAGCCTTCTTTTCTTCAGGCTAAACATGCCCAGCTCCTTAAGCCGCTCCTCATAGGGCTTGTTCTCCAGACCCTTGATCATTTTAGTCGCCCTCCTCTGGACACATTCCAGCTTATACATTTTACATTTTATAGCCATCTTTCACATCAGTACACAAGAATGGGGATTACAATGGCATGGACCAATCTAACTTCAATATTCAGTTATATATCAATACACTTTAGGATGTTGTCTAGTTCTTTTACAGTAGACCTAGCAAATCATAATCTTCTTCTGATTCCTTGATTCATACCTACAAGTGGCTAACCAGTCTGCACCATGAATGAACATGAAACATGAGATTTGGAATGGACAAAGTATGGCCCTCCATATATTGTTGCTGCTCCTCAAGGATAAGACCGTCATCTTGCTGAAGGCTCTTAAGTTTTTAGAGGATATATTATGAAGACACAATTTTGTAAGTGGTTGCCATCTGAACTGCATAGGACTACACTACATGCTTAGCTATTCAGGTGGTACAGAAGCCAACTAACAATGTGCCTGCACAACTCAGTTATGCCACATCAACTGTCATGGCTCCACTCGATGGAATTCCAAGATTTCTAGTTCAGTCATTCAGAGTGTGGTGTAAGACTTCATCATCAGGAATGTTACCTGAAGCAAAGAAGCACTTACCAAGAATGTGAGGAGAAGCCTCGTCTTCTTGGACGCTCACATGTCTAGCACCCGGTGGGATGTCAAACATCTTAAGGTAGCCTTTGGCATGTGCAGCAAGGCGTTTGGGAGAAAGTGCAGAAGAAAAAGAAGAAAAACCATTGCTAGTGTTAGCAGGTTGCAAGAAGAAGTTGGCCCCATCTGCAGAGGAGGAGCATCCATGGACCCATGGGGAATGAATGAAAGGACAGAGAGCTTTGCAATATTGGTGATTAGGCTGCCTTGCATTTCCCCTCATATACATGAAGCAAGGGGAAAAGCAAGCTAACCTTATTGCAAACCATTTTGTTATGTTCTTTGGAGGCCATAGCAATCTGGATCATTTAGGCAGAGAGTTTATGTTTCCTTTGTTTTGTGGAACTAAAACAACCAGTTGTGTACTCTACTGGATCCCTAACTTCTGAGCATGAGCATCTTTGTTGTACATTCAAATCATCATTCATATTATAAATGCATTAAAAGCAGTATCTGTGGTGGATAGGTAGGACAGGAGAGAATTCATTTATGCTGCCTACAATGGGTTTTGTGCACTGCTTAAATTTTTAATAGTAGCCAAATTCCAAGAAATCACAACTTCATTTTTCAATGAAGAATAAAATATTTAATGCTCAGTATTCTCTTATCATCATAAGTGATAAAGTAGCTTTAAAAGGAAACATAGAAGGATTGCCTCTTCTTGCAATGCTTGTAAGTCACTGGCCAGCAATGAGAAGTGAAGCAAAGGTGAACCATGGATGCCCAACATCCTGCAATGGGGCAAAACTTACCAAGGATATTTTTAGATTCTTTGGTTTCAGAAACAGAAACTTCACGAGCTCCTTTGGGTAAACTGAATGCGCCTCTTGTCTTCCCTTAAACAGAATGTCACTTGTTAATGGTGAGGCACCAAAGTCTTGAGTTTTCATTGACTATATCTTCATAGGAGAATGTTTTAATCAATCATGCCAATCACATACATTCTACATTGCATTTTTTTTAAAAAAAACAATAGCATTGCAGCAGTTCTTTAAAATAATAGTCAATGAAAGTTAAGACTATGGAAAACAAGATACTTGCAGATTTTATTGTCCAGAAACTTGAATTCATTTTGGCACCTCTTGCTTAATTGTTTTCCTGTTGAAAGAGGGTGATTAGACTATTTGGGAACACTATAGCAAACAAGAACAAATAGCATATGATATTAATGGGGATACATTATTGCATAAAAGAAAAGTAGATCCCACCTATTCCAAACATTGACTCCAAACCCCATTCTCAACCACTGAATACCAAAGCTATCCTCCATTACTTCTGTATTGGTTAGCTAGATTGCAAGATAATTCAATCAGTATATCAGAAAAAGTTATTTTTTGCATGCGGAAAAAGCTTTCGACCAGGTCAGCTGGGTTTATTTGGAAAAGGTCTTGGATTTATATGGGGTGGGCCCCTTTAGAAAAGCAGTGGGGGCAATATATTCTAAGCAATCTGCTAAGATAAAAATAAATGGACAGCTGACAAAAGCCATAGATATACAGAAAGGGACTAGACAAGGCTGTCCACTTTCGCCATTACTATTCATTTTGGGATTGGAAATTTTGAGTATAAGAATTAGAGATGACAATGAAATTGAAGGGTTCAAAGTAAAAGGCCAGGAAATCAAAATCAGAACATATGCAGACGATATGGTTTGTATTTTATCTAATCCAACACAGAGCATTCCAAAATTATTAGAGGTAATCAAATTGTATGGAGAGGTTTCGGGTTTTAAAATAAATAAAGATAAATCTAAATTTATTACAAAAAAATTAGACACTAAAATTATTAGGAAATTAGAGGAAGCGGCTAACTGTAAAGTAGTCCCGAAGATAAAATACTTGGGAATAACTATCACAAGCAAGAACATCGACTTGTTTCAAAATAATTATGTGAAGACATGGTCGGAGATTAAAGGAAATTTGAACAATTGGCAGAAGCTACCATTAACATGGCTGGGCAGGATTGCAATTATTAAGATGATGATACTTCCCAAAATGCTTTTCTTTTTTCAAAGCATACCTATTATTAAAGGGACTAAAATTTTCAATTTGTGGAAGAGGGATATCATGAATTTCATTTGGGCAGGGAAAAAAGCCAGGATTGCTTACAAAAATTTAATTGATACCAAAGAGAGGGGAGGACTAAATTTACCAGATTTAAAAACCTACTATGAGGCCGCCTGCATGAGCTGGCTCAGAGATTGGATACAATTCCGGAACATAAATCTACTAAATTTAGAAGGACATGGAATCAGATATGGATGGCATTCTTACCTCTGGTATGAAGGAGAGAGATTAAATAAGGCATTCAATAAACATGTAATTAGGGGAAGCTTAATAGATGTTTGGAAAAGATACAAATTAGGGATGGAACCCAAAACACCCCTGTGGCTGAGGCCAATAGAAGCCATTGGGAGACCCATCTGCAAGGATGATGTCAGAACATACGGGGAACTACTTATCAGGTCCAATGGCCAATGGGCACTGAGGGGAAAAGACGAATTGGGTATTAAAGATTGGTTCCGATATCATCAATTATACGAAAGATTCAAAAAAGACGAGAAGAGGGGATTTGCTTCAAAAAAATCAGATCTGGAAACTATATTAGATAAAGGGGGAAAAGGCTTAATAGCCAGATTATACAAATATTTTCTACACTATAATTTGGAAGATAATCGTGTTAAAACCCCCATGATCTCATGGGCAAAAGATTTAGGGAGAAGCATAGATTTTGACATCTGGGAAAACCTGTGGAACAATGGATTTAAATTTACAGTGGCAGCTTCAATTAGAGATAATGTATATAAAATGTTCTACAGATGCTACATAACTCCAGCCCTCCTAGCCAAAATGGACAATTCACAAACAGGATCCTGTTGGAGGTGCAAAAGAAAGAAAGGGACTTTCTTTCACGTATGGTGGTCGTGCGAACTGGTGCAGATCTATTGGAAAAGAATAATAAAGGAAACAAATAAAATGATTTACAACAAAGTAAAAAAGAACCCAGGGATGTGCCTATTAGGGATATTCAGAGACAGTTTAGAACAACCAGAGAGAGAAATCTGTTTGTACAGCTTTGCGGCTGCACGCATTACAATTGCCAAAAATTGGAAAGGGGAGAAAACATTAAGCATCAAAGATTGGAAGGATAAATTGTGGGATTATGCACAGATGGCTAAGATTTCAAGCAATTTGAAATATGAAAATAATGAAATATTTGAAAGAAACTGGAAGCTGGCCTTAGCATACTTGACGGGAGAGCTAAAGAAATAAAAACAAGAGGAATTTATTGAATTAGAAGTATAGAGGGTTAAATAAGTTGTGCATAAATCCTGCGTGGATTAGTGACGGAAGTCAAGGTGGTGGGTAGCACTGGGGGTGGGTGGAGGGGTAACTGTATGGAGGGTTGTTTGTGTATGTGTGTTTGTTTGTGTATGTGTACATTTTTGCAACATATATGGTTGGTGTATTATCTTTTCGAAATAAAATTTAATTAAAAATTAAAAAAAAAAGAAAAAGTTATTCTGAGGGGATGAAACTCCCCAAATGTTTTAGCCAGCATGATCTGTGGTCACATTGGCTGCAACATTTTCAGAGTAGGAAACAAAATAGGAAGTCTAGAGTGAAATGTTCTACAAATCTTATCTGATTCACACACACACACAACACTTTTAAAAACCCATACTTCAATACAGTGATCTGTTAATTTTAATTCCTATCTGTTTTTTTATCCTCAAATTCTTTACATCCTAAATATGGAATCTGTGTGACAACATCATGTCTATGAAGGCAATATCCAACATGTTAATTTCAGGTTGATTTTCAATATCCACAGGATGGTACATGGACTTCCTCACTATTTTTTAATACAGAATTGGTTTTCTGAGAGAATTGGTTTTCTGTCTCAATACAGCAATATTAATCATGAGCTCTCAGGAAAGAAAGCTGCCCCACAGGATCCTGAGCTATACAGATGTTGGTAGAGCAGCTTACTCTGATGATGGAGATGGGTATTTCAGATGTTTCCCTCCTATTGTTGAAGCAATAATTCAAAAGTGTCACAATGGAATACTATACTTAAGTCACCAATAGGATTCTGGCCTGTGTTCATCATCAGCACATGCAGTAGCAAAACTATGATAGTTAGACAAGTACTCTCCTTTACTTTACTTAAAAAGAATTAAGAAATTGGCTTTTTTAAAAATAAAATGCTCTAATGATAAAATTCTGATCTGCAACCATGTAGTAAACGGACAGCTCTGGACAGCATAGACAGTGAAAAATGTCAACTTAACGATGTCTACAGCAGTAGTTCCCAAGCTTTGATCTTCCAGAAATTCTGGACTTAATGTTCCACAATTCATGATTGTTGGCAAAAGGGGCAAGGGCTGCTGGTTGCTGGATCCAAAACACCTGGAGGACCCCAATATGTGAGTTACTGGTCTACAATGTAGTGTAGAGAGTGGCTACAATCCCATACATTGCATGGTTTCAATCCGTCATGGAGCTCCAGACAAGCCAGATATGCTCATTACCTTTAATATTAGAAAAACTGCATGCATATCTCCATTCTTTGCAAAGAACCGTAAATATGCAGTCCAGATTTTGCAGTGTTCTGTATGGGTTCAAAAGAGCCTCTAGTTCTAGCTTTTTACCTTAACTGTTTGCTTTTAAGGTATTAGTACAAATAAAACACACAAACAGATCAACAATCCGAAGTGTCTGAAGTGAAAGTCTCCCTACCAGGCTTCTTAGGGATTCGAGTGAAGGTCCCTTTTACTGTCCGGCAGTGCGAATTATCTCCCCCACATACTCCACACTTGTCTTCCGCTTTGTTGGACCCAATTTCCTTGTCACAGCCCACTTTCTGCAGAGAGATGTTCAAATGTATCAGCAGAACTGAGAGTTGCAGGACGCATCCTTTGGGAATACACAAAATCCAGATTGAATGTGTCACTCTTAGTTTTAATTTTAACTAAAAGCAAGGGTGGTATGAACTATATAATTCAGAATTTGGAAGATTACCAAATTTGATGTAAACGGTGTAATTAAGAATTAGGAAGATCTCAATATCCCTTTTCATAAATGTAAATTTATACTGGCAGTAAATACCTTCCATCACTACTTTATTGGTTCCAGAAAGAGTAAGAGAATACATAAAGTACCCTTATATGATCTACACCGACTCACGGCCTCTCTTCAGGATTTCAGGCAAAATCCTTCCATAGGGCCCTTCCACACAGCCATATAACCCAGAATATCAAGGCAGAAAATCCCACAATATTTGCTTTGAACTGAGATATCTGAGTCGACACTGCCATATATTCCAGTTCAAAGCCATAATCTGGGATTTTATTCAGCTATGTTGAAGGGGCCTTAGCCATAGCTGGAGATATTGGGAACTGCATTTGGGACCTTTATAAGTTGTATTGTTGTATTTGTTATGCTGTTGTTTTACTGAGGGCCTTGGCCTTTGTAAGCCTCACCGAGTCCTTCGGGAGATGTTAGCAGGGTACAAATAAAGTTAATAATAATAATAATAATAATAACAACAACAAAAATGATAAGTAGGGAAAGCTGACTCACCACACACTCTCCACGAACACAAATGCTGAATGGGTCTTTGTATGAGCAGCGAGTTCCATCATGGGCTAGTTGTTTCATATAAGCAACATCTCCTGTCTCTCTGGATTGGCAGTAAAGCTGGCATCTCTTGGTGGCTGTATGGTACAAAAATTCAGTCAAAATGTACATCTCAGTGTATCCAAAGTGTTATACACCATTCTAGTCTCAAGTAAAGTAGATTAATGTATTGTCGAAGGCTTTCATGGCCAGAATCACTGGGTTGTTGTAGGTTTTTTTGGGCTATATGGCCCTGTTCTAGAGGCATTCTCTCCTACCTCTAGAACATGGCCATATAGCCCGAAAAAAACCTACAACAACCCACTAAAGTGGATTAATTGAATCACTGAAATTTCAATTAGTGTTGACATATCATTTACAATAGAGGGCCCATCTACACAGCACCTAAAACACGGGATTTCCCAAGTTTAAAGGGGATGGTGGCTGCATGACACTAGCAGTAAATCTGCGCTGATTCAAGAAATACGGGGTAAAATGATTCCCTTTTATCCTGCTTCCAGTCAGAAAATGTGCATATTCGCATCAATACAGAAAAAGGTTGTGAGGATGGCGGGAGGAAGAAATCCCGGGACCCTCAAGTCTGTGTGGGGACATGTTCTCAGGTCCTGGGGTTTTTTTTGTCTTCCATTTTAAACCCACATTTTCATGCTATCTGGAAGTGACCAGAGTCAGAGGAACTACTCTTGTTATTAGCAACCATGGTAAGGCCATTGTTGAGAATGATATCTATCAAGATTGAGCATCCTTTGTCCAAAATGTTTTGGTTTAAATTCTAATATCTAAGGCTTTTTCTTTAAAATGAGTTTAGCATTGCAAATACACTTTTGAAGTTCAGACTAAAACTTGAATTTACATCCATATTCACCTGGAAGCTACTGTTGCCTATCCCATTCCCTTTTTCTCAACCTCCCTCCCTCTTCCCCTCAATTATCTACTAATCTAGCTGTCAAAGGAACTATGGAAACTCACCTTGGTAAAAGGAACACTGAGCACATGATTACTGAAATAAGAGTATATTATTTTATTTATATTCCACTTTGTATCCATTTTGGGATCCAAGGGCGGTTCCAGACAGCCCTTTATCCCGGGATCATTCGCGTTTTTAAAACGTGGATGTTCTTGGGGGGCTGTCTACACTCACCACAGAAAGCATGCGCTTTCTGGGAAAGATGTCCAGACATTCTCCTGGGACTAGCACAGGAGAATTTCTAGAGGGCCTAGCCTCCTCCCCAAAGCCCCCAGACCCCTTTGAAAGTAATTACAACTTACCTGGCTTCCATTATAGGCTTGGAGAACCTCTCCCAGCATGTAGAAATGACATGCCAGAAGAGCAGGAGAGCGGGGGGGGGGGGGGGGGGGGGGGGGGGGGGGGGGGGGGGGGGGGGGGGGAGGTGCAATTTTCCTCCTCCCCCTTGCTCTCCTGGTGTGTCATTTCTTACGTGCTGGGAGAGGTGCTCCAAGTCTGTAATGGAGGCCAGGTAAGTTTTAATTACTTTTCAAAGGGGTCGGGGGCTTCCGAGGAGGGGGGTGGGCATTCCCACAGTTTACTGGGCTTTTTTATATTTATTTATTTATTTCAAAGATTTCTATACCGAGCTTCTCGACCTCATTGAGGGACTCAGCCCGGTTTCCAACCATAAAAACATATACACTCGTTAAAATATCATCTATCACATTTACAAAAACAGCTTTAAAATAACACTTTTTAGCCCACTTAACTGTGGAAATGGTATCTGGACTGTACTCCAGAACTAGTGGGTTTGTCTCACCCCTTCCAAGATGGCGTGGAATGAATCCACTATCTAATTAATTCGCCACAAACCATGGGTTTTCCTGGTTTGTGGTGAATTAATTCAGGATTGTCCAGAAAGTTGTCAGGACAGCCCCTCCTTTGTTGCAGTAGATACCCCAATAAAGATACTGTCTGGACAGGCCCCCTGGCAGCTCATGGCATCATTCTGTTTTGTTTGCTTTGCTAAGTCAACAGAACATCAGACTTCCAATGACAATCAGAAGAATTTATATCCTATTGCTATTTAAATGTTCATTGAATTTTGTTAATTGTAATAGAACTGAGTATTTTTTCTAGAGATGTATTGCAGAAAGTTCACAGGCCAGTTCTGAAAGTTATAGGGACCCATAGCTTTGTTCTTCTTTCCCTCATTCTCTGCAATGTTTGTACTATATAACAACAACAACAACAACAACACTTTATTTGTAGGCTGCCCTGTCTCCTCAAGGGGACTTCTTGGAGAGGAAGCGAAGCAGGAAATTCCCATTGCTTACCATCAGGATGTTCATATGGAAGCCAGTGGTGTTTACTGCTCTGATATTCGAAATGTGAGTTGCGCTGTTGACACTGCTGGGCTCGGAAGTCTTCATAAAGCTTTGGACACTCTTCCATGTTGCACAGTTGATATTCAAAGTTGACACCAGCACAGTCTTGACCTCCATTAACTGGCCTTTTAGGGAATAAATTGTTAAAACAAAGACAAATTATAAAGATTATGAGACCCAAACTAATCACCTGCTAGCTTTCTAATCTCCAAGACTGCAAAATTATAGAAGTTTGACACATTAAATGCCATTGCTCTATCCTCTGGAATCCTGGGAGTTGTAATTTGTTGCGGCACCACAACTCTCTCACAGAGAAGGGTAAATAATATGCCACCAAACTACAACCCTCAGAATTCCCTAACACTGGACCACGACACTTAAAGTGGTGTCAAACTGCTAGAATTTTGCAGTGTGGAGATGCCTTGTCTCTTCATTCCTATTCTTGTTCATATAGAAAGCAGATGGCCCTTCAAATGTTGGTAGGCCCCAGCTCTAATGAGCCCCATTTCCATGGGATATAGTGAAGAATGATGGAGACTATAGCCATCAACACTAAGGCCCCATCTGCACTGCCATATAAAATCCAGATTATCTGTTATGAACTGGATTACATGGCAGTGTAGACTCATATAATCTTGTTCAAAAATGATAATCTGAATTATATGGTAGTGTAGAAGGGGCCGTTGTTCTTTTCTCATAAATGACCTGCATTTCTTCCCTGCTGTTCCATCATAACCACAGGGAGTTGCTATAGCCCAGCAGCAGAATATATGCTTCCCACACAGATGTTCCAGGTTCATTTGACTATTTAAAGCAGTGGTTCTCAACCTGGGGATTGGGACCCCTGCGGGGGTCACCAGGGAGTGTCAGAGGGGTTGCCAAAGACCATCAGAAAACACAGTATTTTCTGTTGGTCATGGGGGTTCTGTGTGGGAAGTTTGATCCAATTCAATTGTTGGTGGGGTTCAGAATGCTCTTTGAGTGTAGGTGAACTATAAATCCCAGCAACTACAACTCACAAATGTCAAGGTCTATTTTCCCCAAACTCCACCAGTGTTCACATTTGGGCACATTGAGTATTCATGTCAAGTTTGGTCCAGATCCATCATTGTTTGAGTCTACAGTGCTCTCTGGATGTAGGTGAACTACAGTGGATGGAATATTTACATTACAATTCATAATAAGAGCAAAATGAGTTATGAAGTAGCAAAATAATGTTATGGTTGGGGGTCACCACAACATGAGGAAATGTATTAAGGGGTCGCAGTATTAGGAAGGTTGAGAAACACTGATTTAAAGGATTAGCTCCCTAGGAACAGAGGATACTTGTCCAAAGTCCAGCACTGACTGATGTAAATTAAAATCCACACAACTTTGCCTAGATAAACAATAGGAATAAGGAGGTTCCTCCTCAGTTTGAATCTGAAAATAAAGTATCTTATGGAATTTAACTGATGACATGTTTCCCTTCCCCATCTTCTTTCCTCTCATAGTGTTTAAACAAATTCTTTGACCCTCTGGATGGGATTTTCTTTGGATGGGCTGCAAGTGCTTGAAGGTTGGAGGGGATAGATTTATGAAACATTTTTCTACTGACTTCTTTATCTCATTTCAGGATTTATTTACATTGTAGTATCAATGCAATTTGACACACTTGAGCTGCCATGGCTCAATGCTATGGAATCACAGTAGTTGTAGTTTGGTGGGGCACCAGGAGTCTTTGGCAGAGGTAGTGCTATAAAAAAGCTACTGTTCCCAGGATCCCATAACATTGAGCCATGAAAGGGGAACCAAACTGCATTAATTCTAAAGTGCAGGTACAGCCCTGGTAGACAACCATTTCACAAAATGCTACCTCTGTAACTTATGTCAGCTAGCTACCTCAATAATCCATATTATTTACAGGTATAGCCCCAAGTTTTGAGCATGCAAAGTTTCCTGCTCTCCTGATTTACATGGGATTGTTGCACTGCCTTGTTCGGAAGCGGACTCCAGTTCCACATGTTCTGGAGCAGGAGCCAAATTTCGTCCAGGCCCCCCAGTTGCCATCTTGCTTCAGCTGGTTGGTATTCTTCCACATGCAGTGACCTTTATAGCACCACTGAAGAATGAAAAGAGAAGCCAATACAAATGTTTGAGAAATTTCTTGTACCACAACTAGAAGTTTGCATTCCAGGGACAAAGTTATCTTATTCAAATTAATCATCATTATTAATCAATAATGGGGCCTCTTCTTCAGGAAAGAACCAGGAAAGGGAGAAGGAAGGCAGAAAGCATTATCTCTCTGTGTGTTTATATGTGCCTTCAAGTTACCTGCCAACTTATCATTACCCCATGAGTTTCATAGGGTGTTCTTAGGTAAGGAATGCTCAGAGGCAGTTGCCACATCTTTCCTCTGAAATATCATCTATTTTAATATGGGGAGAGGTAGGAGTAACGACAACAATAACAATAAGCATACAAGTACTCAGAAAAAGACATAGCAACCCATTGAAATGCTCCATCAAGGAAATGGCCCTTTACTATGAGATCTTGCATATTTCAATACTTTCCACACACACCTGTGTCAAAAGAAATATAATGTGAATATTCGATAAATGTGGATTTGATATGTGTGTGTATGAATGAACCGAATGCAAGATGAATGAATGAGATCTACTAATTTGGCTGAAGTCACCATTCTAAACCATTTACTACCTGCTTGAGCAACTGTAATTAAATGTTGCTAATGAGAACTGAAACGGCTGACATTGATAAGAACTGTGATAGTGATAAATGTTTACATCTGTTTACATCTGTCAACATTTGCTGACCAGAAACCAGATTAACTCTAAAGTAAACCCGGTGGCGCAGTGGGTTAAAGCACTGAGCTGCTGAGCTTGTTGACCAAAAGGTCGCAGGTTTGATTCCAGGGAGTGGCGTGAGCTTCCACTTTCAGGCCTCGCTTCTGCCAACCTAGCAGTTCGAAAACATGCAAATGTGAGTAGATCAATAGGTACCGCTCCGGCGGGAAGGTAACGACGTTCCATGCGGTCATGCTGGGCACATGACCTTGGAGGTGTCTATGGAAAATGCTGGCTCTTCGGCTTAGAAATTGAGATGAGCACCACATCCCAGAGTCAGACATGACTGGACTTAATGTCAGGGGACAACCTTTACCTAAACCATCCCTGTTTACATTCGTCAAAGACAATGCTCTTTCAAGTCAAGCCCAGAACACAATGGTTTGTTACCTGAAGATGAACTGGAGGTGAAGTCTCAAGATAATTTCAAACAGGACAATATTCTACATCAGCAAAATATTCCTATAAGAGACATACGACTTCATCACATTAGAGAATGAATCCACTTTAAATCCGGTTTCTGCCTCCTACTGAATTCTGGGGTTTATAATTTGGTGAGTCTGTTAAAGGCTCCTCGCCTAAACTACAAATTCCAGAATTCTTTAGGAGGCAGCAACCAGATTTAAGGTGGATTCATTCTCTAGTGCAGGGGTCCTCAAACTTTTTAAACAAAGGGCCAGGTCATAGTCCCTCAAACTGTTGGAGGGTTGGATTATAATTTGAAAAAAAAATGAATGAATTCCTATGCACACTGCACATATCTTATTTGTAGTGCAAACAAACTCCCTTTAAAACAATACAATAATTAAAATGAAGAAAATTTTTAACAAATATGGACCTCCTTTTGGCCAATGAGATAGGACTGTTGTTGCTGTGTGCTTTCAAGTCGTTTCAGACTTAGGTTGACCCTGAGCGAGGGTCGGGTAAATTACCTTGGAGGACCGTATCCAGCCCCTGAGCCTTAGTTTGAGGACCCCTGCTCTAGTGTGACGATGTTCTCAATCTAATAATTCTCATTTGTGACAGACAGCAGAGCTGTTCACCCACTATGCTGTGGTCCATGGGAAGGACAGAGATGGCGTATGTAGGAAGAGTGTCAGATCTGTTATGGAAAGCAGGATTCTGTACACTTTGAGCTTTTTTCTCAAGGGAAGAGGAAGGAGTGTGTTTTGGAGTCATGATATGTTTTCAGGGAGTCAGGTTCTGCTGTATAGGAAACAGGGATCTGATTCTTGGCATTTTGGAGTTTTAGAAGCATTCTGGTGTTATGGAAGTTTTGGAACTGTGTGTTGGCAGGCTCCAAGGAAGCAGGGTCTGGACTAACAGGTGCTCTTCTCCAAAGAGGGCGAAAAGGATATGGTAATATTTGGATGCATGGTGGTGAATGCATGTATATGTAGTGTGCATGTTGAGTAAAAATGTGACTTCTCTCTTTGTTTGTTAGCAATATAGCTGTTTGTGAATCCAATAAAATTAGTTACATAGAATCTGTATGTCTGGATGTCCAATGTTGTTGTTTGTGTAAAAATGTAAAAATACTGTAAAAGTTCTGATATACCCTCTCACACTGAAAATAGCAATAAAAAGAACCTGGTTTTAAAAGTATTTTACAAAAAAAGAAAAAGAAAAGAAAAGAAAAGAAAAGATGAAAAAGAAAAGAAAGAAAAGAAAAAAATAAGAAAAAATGCTGATCTTTTTATAGAAAACCTATATATATATATAATGAAATATGAAAAAACCCAGTGCACAAAACCCTTGTATTCTCACCTAGAAGGAAAACAAATTTTGAAAATATGCATTATTGCATGTGAAATAAATGATGATTTGCCTCCCTCAATTACACCTTGAATGGAAGACTTCTACATTTCCCAACAATAACAACAACAACAACAACAACTTTATTTTTTATACCCCACCACCATCTCCCCTAGGGGACCCGGGGTGGGGTGGCTTACAAAGGGACAAACCCAAAAATTACAGATAAAAACATAAACACAATTAAAACCAATCCATAAAATAATAAAACAAACACAGTCATAAAACAACATCAGAAAATCATATGGCTGAGATAAGGTTCAATGAGTGAAAAATTCCTAAAAGGAGCCCATGGAAAGTGCCGAAATCAAATGAACAAGGGCTGGAGAATACTATTGTTGAAAGTGTCGAGGTAACCAATAAGAGGGCCGAAATAAGGTGCAGAACTTACAATAGGGACAGGATAGAATGCCATTTTGAATAGGGAGAAAAATAAATATGTGCTTTAACCTGAAAGTGCCTACTCACTTTACTAGGGGCACATTCTGTCCCATCAAGCGGCGGCCCCTTCTTTGTCTTGCAGAAGTAAGGGTTGTCAGGATGGCTGCACCACAACTGTTTGCATGGGTCAAAGGTTCGAAACTGGGAAGAATCAGACACCAAAGGAACCAATATTAAATACAAACTATTTCAACATACAGAGAATTCCTAGCCAAGAAAAGAATGGAAAAAGTTGAACAGCATCACCAACATGTTATTGGTACATTTTACTGCATTTGCTAGGATTCAGTGTCTCCTTTTGTACTTTCCTTGCAGAAGGGTTGTGATTCATTTAGAGAATTGACACTGCTGCATGGTGCTATACAACAGACTTTTTCAAGCTTATGCCTATGATGCATCCCCAGCTATTACAATGGCTCATCTGATGAGATGCATCAGAAGGGAGAAGAAGGAAGAGAAGGATGTTTTTATTTGTGCGCACACAATCCCACAAATTCTATGAACCTATCAGCCCATCCATTTCCCACTTTTCGTTTCAAATGATACCCAGTATACAATACTACTGAGCATTCTCATTGGGATGTTTTGTTGAACCCTATTATATCTACACTGACCATTTAATGCAGTTTGAAGCTAGCTTCAAATTGCAGTGTCCAGACAGAAAACTCCCCAAAAATGCATGAAAGAAAGCCCTCAGTGCTCGGTGGTTTGTGTAATCACCATCCGGGTCTCAAACTGATTCCAGGATTTCTTATGTAATCATCTGCACAGTGAAAACTGCTTTCTTCGTTACCAGTTTGAAGCTTCATTAAATGGTCGGTGTAATTGGGACCTTAGTAACAATTCTACTAATAACTCGGCTTTTAAGAAGTGAGCTCCAATAGAATACTCCAAGTTAGGATAATTTCCACTTTCTCAATTTTCAGGCTTAAAATAGGACCATAACCAAATAGTCTTAACTGGCTAAACTGAAAGCATGATTTGTAACATTGTTATGACATTAGTAAAATAAGAACAGGTTGAACATCACTTCTCTGGAATTTTGAAATCTAAAATATCCCAAAATTGTCCAAGCTGGTGGCAGATATTGTGGTATCTTCACTCTCTGGTGAAGCCCTCAGTGACACAGCAGGTTAAACCACTGAACTGCTGAACTTGCTGACCAAAAGGAAAAATAAATACCCCAAGCTATGATTTTCTTTTCCTTCTCCGCTTTTTTGGGGCAAAATATGATCCATACTGAAAAGTCTCAATTGGCTGAAACTCCATGTTGTCTCCCCATCTCATTCTGCCTGTGGTGGGCTGCAATGTGCCCAACTCTTCCATTTCTGCAACCCATCTGGCATACTACAATATTGGGGGAGGTTTCAGCTATTTTAAAGGAATAAGCCAATTTTGAGCACCACAATTCAGGAAGTATCCTGACATGTCCAGAGCAGGGCAATTAGAATTAGTGGCTTTGGGAGATGGGTATGTTTAGCTTGAGAAGAGAAGGATTAAAAGCAGACATGATAACCATATTTAGATATTTTGAAAGGATGCCAAATTGAGAAGGAAACCAGCTTGTTTTCTGCTGCTCCAAGAGACTTAGGGCCCTTCCACACAGCCCTATATTCCAGAATATTAAGGCAGAACATCCCATATGATCTGAGTGTGAATTCAGATAACCCAGTTCAAAACAGATATTGCAGGATTTTCTGCCTTGATATTCTGGGATATCGGGCTGTGTGGAAGGGCCCTAGGACACAGAGCAATGGATTCAAAATGTAACTCTATTGTCATATGATTCATGGCTTTCAGAAGGAATTGATGGAACCACGTATAGATTTGTCTCCCAGTGAGGCACTGAGAATGTGCATTCAAAGGGAGAGATGGCAACCACCATCGGCTTGCTTCCTGTCAACTCTATTGAAGAGTGCAAAAGAAGTAAAGTAAACACACTCTCCCTTTCTCACCCAACCCTCTTCATATTCAGGCTGAACTTGTAACAGTCCAAAGATTTGGTCCAGCCTTACTTTCTAGAAACCTCTCTGGACATACCGCCGTGCACATTTTGTAGCCCACACCGAAATCGAAGCGGCACTGTTCATCCATCGAATAATTTATCCCTGGCAGCTCAGGAAGTTTGGGCCAATCATGTTCAAAGGGGTCATCAAGGAGGCAGTCATAGGAGCTGTGGGTGGAGGGTGGGGAGGCACAAACAATAGAGAGAAAGATGGAAATTGTCAGCTGGATATGCAAGCCAAACTTTAAGTCAGAATGTAATTCTCATCTACATGGATTACATGCACTCAGGTGCCTCCCTGGCCATGAATAAAGTCATGGTTATGAAGTCATGGCCATGACTCCCTCGCCATGAATGAGGCCACAGATGTGGTCAAAACATCAGGAGAGAATACTTCTGGAACATGGCCATACAGACCAGAAAAGTCTTATTCTATTCACATTCTAAATTTCAGAAAAGTGGCAATTACCTGGCTTTCTCTATATATCAATCTAATATATCAGATCAAATCTGGGGAGAGCACGGATGAGCTCCCTCTGTCAGCTTCAGCTCCCCATGCAGGGACATGAGAGAACCCTCCCACAAAGATGGTAAAACATCAAAACATCCGAGTGTCCCCTGGGCAATGTCCTTGCAGACAGCCAATTCTCTCACACCAGAAGTGACTTGCAGTTTTTCAAGTCACTCCTGATAGGAAAAAAGTCTAATATATATGGAATTCTAAGTGGTGCAATGAGTTAAACCCTTGTGCCGGCAAGACTGAAGACTTACAAGTTGGAGGTTCGAATACAGGGAGAGCATGGATGAGCTTCCTTTGTCAGCTCCAGCTATCCATATGGGGACATGAGAGAAGCCTCCCACAAGGATGGTAAAACTTCAAAACATTGGACATCCCCTGGGCAACATCCTTGCCGACAGCCAATTCTCTCACATCAGAAGCGACTTGCAGTTTCTCAAGTCACTCCTGACATGAAAAAAAATCTAATATATCATATTGAGCAGTAAAGGGCAGCAGAAGATCTCTCTGTCTCTCACAATTGTCTAGCAGTAGAGGGCAGCAGAGACTCAATAAACTTTATGATGAAATGAAAAACACGATGGCTGGAAAACGGGAATGTGGCATTAGAATTAGTAAGCACATCAGGATATTTTTGAAGAATTAAATACATTGTGGCTAGAGTCCTCTTATCGACATAAGCTTTGGTTATATACAGAATATGAACTCAGAGAGAGAACATGAAAAATGAAGATACCCTGTATATCTTAGGCAATGCCCCTCATTCTAAGGGTGCAATAGCAATGTGGGTCTCACAGGTGCTGTGCAGAGGATCTGGAAGTTGTTCCTCTACTCAGTGCAGAAGTGCAGCCAAAAAATGGCAAGTATGGCACAAAGGTTGGATAGAGTTGCACCTGGGAGACCCTGAGCGCCTGGGGATGAAGTGACACAGAGGATGCAGTCTCCATTCACTGAATGATTGCATCAGTATAATGGTAGAGGCATGCATGTCCTTTGAATCTCAGCCAATGGGTTTTATTTGCTGTACCCTCTACAAATGTTTCTTGTTTGAAATATGTCTTTTCCCACATTTGGGCTGATTTGCAAGGAAATTGCTATGTGTATCATTGTACTGCTAGGCAAAAGTTGGACTATGTGATCTTCTAGTTACTTTGGTATACTCACAAACCTTTTCACTAAACCTCAAAGCACCTACAGAAAAGGACTGTGCATGGCCATGACTAGAGATATTCCTTTGCTTGAGTAATGTATAGATTACTGAAACGCGCTCTACGTGGGGTTGCCTTTGAAGATGGTCCGGAAGCTTCAAATGGTCCAGCGTGCGGCAACCAGGTTGTTAACAGGAGTGGCGCTCAGGGAGCACACAACTCCTCTGCTGCATCAGCTCCACTGGCTGCCAGTTTGCTACCGGGCTCAATTCAAAGTGCTGGCTTTTGCCTATAAAACCCTAAATGGTTCTGGCCCAGCCTATCTATCTGAACGCATCTCTTCCTACAAACCCTCCAGGAACTTAAGATCGTCTGAGGAGGCCCTGCTCTCGATCCCACCTGCTTCACAAGCACGCTTGGCGGGGACAAGAGACAGGGCCTTCTCTGTGGTGGCCCCTCGGCTGTGGAACTCCCTGCCTAGGGATATTAGATCAGCCCCCTCCCTCCTGACTTTCTGAAAACGAGTAAAAACTTGGCTCTTCGAGCAAGCATTCAGAATCCTGGAATAAATAGACAAACTAGAGCTGGAAAATAACCCAGGAACGACCAAGACAATGGAACGGATGAGGATTGAACGAGAGGACACAGTTCTTTTTAAATTGTTATTATGCACTGTCTTCATGTTTAAATGCACTTTAATGTTTTTGCTTTATTAATGTATGTATTATTTTTTTTGGCATCGAATTGTGCCAACTGTGTATACCATCCTGAGTTGCCTCCGGGCTGATATGGGTGGGATAGAAATAATGCAAATAAATAAATAATAAATGTATGATAGAGAAACAAATGGTTTACAAGTTGACTTGGGCATGAAAGGGATAAGCTCTCACTGCATTTCCCAATGACATAATCAGAACAAAATCACAATTGATTCATAACTGAGCTCAGAATAAACCAATCTACTTTGCAGTTCGTGCAGCAAACCAGACAATTTTCCAAGGCTGGCTTTATTATAAAGCAAAGTGAAATGGCCATCTCAGGCAGCAGATATTGGATGACAGCAGTGAAGTATATCCTATACACCCTGAACCTTCTAAATTAGATTGTTCCTTCTAAATAATGTGATCAGTATTACCCTATTGCCACCACCTTACAAATATGTAACAGCTGATCCAGTTCACTTTTCTAGATGAACCCAGAGGGGGAACTATCTCGTTCTTTGCTTAAGCATCAAGAAGTCTTTGGATATCCTGGTTAATTTTAAGGTCAATCACAAGTGGAACCAAGAGGGGTTGGCTGACCCCATTGACATGCATTACCCACTTCTCTAAATTATCAACTGCATATGTTGGGGGTGCTTTGAACGCAATTGTCCTGCTTCTTGGCAGGGGGTTGGGCTGGATGGTCCACGAAGTCTCTTCCAACTCTATGATTCTATGAGGCAACCACAAGCTGATCCTTACTGTATGTATCTTTTGAGTTCCTGGCCACTGCACCGGGACCAGTGGTATCGATGAAAAGCAGCTTGTACCAACGGAGCCATGACACTCCCCATTGCGGTCTCATCCCCACACCTGTTCCCTTGTCCATCGTGTTCCATTCCTAACCTGAAACCAAAGAACAACAAATGGAAATTAGCATGGCAATAAGGGGTGGGAAATATTTTATTCTTTAGATGTTCTAGATTTCAGCTTCCATAAGATCCAGTCAGCAGGGACAGTGATAAGGATTCTGGTGTAAAATTGCATCAATTTCCCATTATATTTACTAGTTGAGCCAGAAGATAATGAGCCTCCTTAAAGACCGTACACAATACTATATCGGTCAATGGGTTTGAGCTCCCTGGATTTTACAGACTCAAATTTATCTATAGCTCTCCATGCCCTCACAGTGATGGTAAATGAAGAGCTAAGAATCAGGTTTACCACAACATAGAGGGTATGGAGCTCTACAACAGGCTGAAATTGACAAGTTTTCAGTTCTGGATTTTTTTGGATTTCTGAATACGTGAGACTCAACCTGTACCTATTTTCTAGTAAGACTTACACATGTCCAGTTTCATGGGCAACCACAAATGCTGAAGAAAACCCATCTTCATGGTTAAGAGTACAGCTTCTGACAGGATGACACATGCCTGTTACTGGCGCATACCCTGTTGACAGAGTGAAAGGTTGGCATTTAAAAGCAAGCAAAAGCATCCTCATATTTGTTTATATGCCTATCTGGAAAAAAAATCAAGACTTTGAAGAACAGATTTTGTGGCCAATGGTTATAGGTTAAGAAGGAGACACTCCTTGAGAAAAAATGCTTGTTTTCTGTTCCTTCACAGGAAGCTGCCATATACTAAATTATATGAGGGTTGAATGAAAAGTAATTCTCCACCTTCATAACTCCTCAACAGATGGCAGTACTGGTATGCAGCAGGTACTGGCTTGTTTAGTAGACTGTCCTCTACAGTTCCATTTTGGCAGGAAACCTTAGCACCAAATAGTTGTGTTGTTAAAGTGTGAAGTATGGAATCCTGTGGATGGTCGGTCAATGCGACTTAAGCAATTCTTGACAGCTGAAGGCGTCACCCCAAAGGAGATTCATCAGAGAATGCAAACTGTTTATGGTGATTGTGTTGATGTGATTACTGTGCATCGTTGGGTGTGTAAGTTTAAAGATGTTGAGGTGACACCTTCTGCTGTCAAAAATTCAATGACTGCATGTTGCTTAAGTCGCATTGACTGACCGTCTGTTCAGGGTTCCATACTTCACACTTTAACAACACAACCATTCAATGCTAAGGCTTCCCATCAAAATGGAACTGTAGAGGAGAGTCTACCGAACAAGCCAGTACCTGCCGCATACCAGTACTGCCATCTGTTGAGTTACGAAGGTGGAAGCATTACTTTTCATTCAACCCTTGTACTATTGATCTAAGTCTTGCACATACTAAGGTACAATGGTTTTCTGGGCCTTCCAAGCAAGGGTTTCTCACCAACTTTTGCCTAGACTGCTGAGGATTGGACCTGGGATCTTTTGTATACAAAGTCATAGCTCATTCTTCAAGACATTTCTTTAGCTTGCTCCTGTGTAACAATAAATTACATGTTTAATCCTGTCAATTAAGCACTGACAGCTACAGTCCCATTTAATTTTCTGTCATTCCAGTGTTTTGGCTGCATTTAATTTCTCCACCTCTCTCTTGCTTTGCCTCTTCCCTTCTGTTTACTTCGGTTGCTCCAAACTGAGTTTGAAGTGCAAAAAAGGGGAGAGGGGAGGAAGCAATGGAATCGTGCCCTTCCCCGTAGCAGAATGAAGCAAAAGTAAGTAAGCGTGTGTTACATCTTAATCAAAACTACCTTGCATTCCAGCTGGCCCAAAATCTTGCCTGGTTAGAAATATGGCATGATCATGATGCTCTGAATGACCAGGGTCTGTTTTTTGTTGTTGATATGCCCAACGGCATACGTTCTCCAGGCTCCTTGATGGATTTCCCCGTTCAATAAGGCTGATCGACTAAGAAAGAATGTAAAATATAAATCAGAACAGAAACAAAAAGAATGCTTTAGATTTTCTTCTAATCACTTTAACAGCAGTGCCAACCCTGAAGTCTGTCCCACTAAAGAATTCAGGGTTGGCAGGAATGAGCAAGACTGTTTCAGGCAGCAGCTGTTGGGGAGCACTGGATGCAGTAGCATTGCCCTCTTCCATTTGGCCCTCCAGATGTTGATGGATAGCAGTTCATGTGAAAAAGATCTTGGAGTCCTCATGGACAACAAGTTAAACATGAGCCAACAATATCATGTCTCGGCTTAAAAAGCCAATGGAATTTTGGCCTACATAAATAGGAGTATAATGTCTAGATTCAGAGAAGTCATGCTACCCCTCTATTCTGCCTTAGTCAGACCACACCTGGAATACTGTGTCCAATTCTGAAGGGAGATATTGACTCTAAGCTGAAATGTGTCCAGAGAAGGATGTCTAAAATGATCAAGGGTCTGGAGAACAAGCCCTATGAGGAGCAGCTTAAAGAGCTGGGCATGTTTAGCCTGCAGTAGAGAAGGCTAAGAGGAGACATGATGAGAGCCAGGTATCAAGAGGTGAGAGGAAGTCATAGGGAGGAGGGTGCAAACTTGTTTTTTGCTGCCCTGGAGACTAGGATGCAATGGAACAATGGTTTCAAACTACAGGAAAGGAGATTCCACCTGAACATTAGGAAGAACTTCCTAACTGTGAGAACTGTTCAGCAATGGAACTCTCTGCTCCGGGGTGTGGTGGAGGCTCCTTCTTTGGAGGCTTTTAAACAGAGACTGTATGGCCATCTGTTTGGGATGCTTTGAATGTAATTTTTCTGCTTCTTGGCAAGGGGGTTGGATAGAATGGCCTATGAGGTTTCTTCCAATGATTCTATGATCTTTTAAACTTCCTCACCATTATTGAGTAGAGCTATGGAAAATGCAATCTAGCAACACCTAGAGCAGTGGTTTCCAACATTTGGTCCTCTAGGTCTTTTGGACTTCAGCTTCTACAATTCCTAACAGTGGGTAAGCTGGGTGGGATTTCTGGAAATTGAAGTCTAAAAAACAAAAACAAAAACCGGAGTACTAAAGGTTGGGGACCACTGATTTAGACCATATGCTACTCCAAATGGTAGACCAGTGCTACCCCATGAGCCATTGGCTGCAGATCCTGATGGATTTTCTGAAAGAAAGAAACACCTGTACACAATGGGTACAAATATAATGCTGGTCCCTGGAATTGCTGTTGCTCACTCTGATAGCCTAAGAAGTAGTGATCTAGAGCAGTGGTTCTCAACCTGGGGGTCGGGACCCCTGTGGGGGTCGCGAGGGGGTGTCAGAGGGGTCACCAAAGACCATCAGAAAACATAGTATTTTCTCTTTGTCATGGGTATTCTGCATGGGAAGTTTGGTCCAATTCTATCATTGGTGGGGTTCAGAATGCTATTTCATTGTGGGTGAACTATGAATCCCAGCAACTACAACTCCCAAATGGCAAGGTCTATTTTCTCCAAACTCTACCAGTGTTCACATTTGGGTATATTGATTATCTGTGCCAAGTTTGATCCAGATCCATCACAGTTTGAGTCCACAGTGTTCTATGGATATAGGTGAACTACAACTCCAAAAACTCAAGGTCAGTGTCCACCAGACTCTCCCAGTATTTCTCTTGGCCATGGGAATTCTGTGTGCCAAGTTTGATTCAATTCCATCATTGATGGAGTTCAAAAGGCTCTTTGATTTTAGGTGAACTATAAATCCCAGCAACTCCAACATTCCCAAATGACAAAATCAATCCCCTCCAACCCCACCAGTATTCAAATTTGGGCGTTTCGGGTATTTGTGCCAAATTTGGTCCAGTGAATGAAAATACATCCTGCATATCAGATATTTATATTACGATTCACAACAGTAGCAAAATTAAAGAAGTAGCAACGAAAATAACATTATGGTTGGGGGTCACCACAACTTGGGTACCTGTACGAAGGGGTCGCGGCATTAGGAATGTTGAGAACCACTGATCTAGAGGGCTGTACTTTGCCTATTCCTACTCTTGCATAAATAAATTGCATCACATATGTTAATATCAGAGCACAGAAAAGTTGCTTCTTGGACCACAACTCCCAGAATTTCCTAGCATGCAACAATAACTAGAGGATTATGGAAGTCTCAGTTTTAGAAGTGAATTTCTTTTGGTTGACATCATGATGCATCTGTCCTCCTTCTGCCAGTGACAACTGATAATAATAGGCAAGTTGTGGTGGTGTGACTTTCAAGCTGTTCGAGATTATATACAGAATCAGCCATTCCTCTGTCTCCAGACTTTTCATCCTGCTTGTTAACATTGTATATTAGAAACATTGCAGAAACCATTATCTCCAGTGTTTATATTCTTTATCAGGCTAATGAGCTTGGAAACCTTTTCCCTATAGGAGACACTACATACACACCAAATGGCTAGTGAGTACAACAGCTGCTCAGCCAGGAAAACTGGAACCACGCAGCTGTGTTTTGCTTACATTCTCAACTGCTAGGGAGGGAAATGCACCAGTCTTGTAAGATAAATCTGAGGGCAACGCCACAGACACATAGTCTATGAGCATCTGCTCGACAGGAATGAACCATGACATATATAAACAAGGGTTGCATGTTCAAATGCAAAGGCAGTAAATATTTATGAGCATTTAAGGATATCAATGAAGTGGCCCTTTTACCTACTCAAAATGTTTTATTAAAGAAGGTAACAAAGGAATAATTACTTACCACACACAGGGAGTAATCCAAAACCCACAGAGCAATTTAAGTGGGGCCATGCAAGTGTGCTCTTGTATCATTTGCAGAAATAAACATTTCAGCGTTTCAGGCTTTGGAATTTAGATACCGATGGGCATGGAATTTAATTCTCTCACAACCTATAAAGCATAGTCATCCATGGCTTTTGGGTTATTTTTCTTCATCTGATATGTACAGATTTGTATTGTCGAAGGCTTTCATGGCCGGAATCACTGGGTTGCTGTAGGTTTTTTCGGGCTGTATGGCCATGGTCTAGAGGCATTCTCTCCTGACGTTTCACCTGCATCTAGGGCAAGCATCCTCAGAGGTAGTGAGGTGCTTGCCATAGATGCAGGCGAAACATCAGGAGAGAATGCCTCTAGACTATGGCCATACTGCCCGAAAAAACCTACAGCAACCCATGTACAATTTTTAAAAAAAAATATGAACAGCTCCTTACATGACATATTGGAACACAAGTTAACAACTGTGAATTCCAAGCTATTTTGGGACTACAGGCCATATCATCCTAAGCCAACATAATTTATGGAGAAGTACAAGAGAGGAGATTCCATCTGAACATGAGGAAGAACTTCCTGACTGTGAGAGCCGTTCAGCAGTGGAACTCTCTGCCCCGGAGTGTGGTGGAGGCTCCTTCTTTGGAAGCTTTTGAACAGAGGCTGGATGGCCATCTGTCAGGGGTGATTTGAATGCAATATTCCTTCTTCTTGGCAGAATGGGGTTGGACTGGATGGCCCATGAGGTCTCTTCCAACTCTTTGATTCTATGATTCTAAGTACTGTAGGGGATAATCCAAACAATGGACTTCCATTTCCCGGTCAATCAATGGGTATTTTGGGTATGGTTCTACATAAGTCATGAAGATGATTCCAGCCATAAGAAGTTTTGATAACATGAATCGGGATCTCTGGTGTCATATCTAATTTGAATGAAAAAGAGCGTCATCACAGAATGGACTTAGTGTCACTGTTTTGTCCTTGTTGGGGATGTAACACGCCTTTAACATTGCACCTGGCAAGAGAAATTGGAATGAAAAAGGAGAGAGAGGGACCATTCACCTGGTTTATTTACCTTGGCATAGCCCAACATCATCATGCGAACCAAGACTACATTTATATGGACCCCCAAGGATTCATCATGGTAAATTTCATTCACCTAAGGAAAAGAAAGCAGGGAAGGTGAATGAAAGCAAGAAGCATAAAAAGGTACAGGTAAAGGTTTTCCATGACAATAAGTGTAGTCATGTCGGACTCTGGGGGGTGGTGCTCATCTCCATTTCTATGCTGAAGAGCCAGTGTTGTCCGTAGACATCAGTGTTGTCCATAGTCATGTGGCCAGCATGACTGCATGGAGCGCTGTTACCTTTCCACAGAAGCAGTACCTATTGATCTACTCGCATTTGCATGTTTTTGAACTGCTAGGTTGGCAGAAGCTGGGGTAACAGGAACTCATCGTGTTCCGTGGATTTGAACCACCGACCTTCCGGTCAGCAAGTTCTGCAGCTTAGTGGTTCAACCCGCTGTGCCACCAAAACACTTACATTTGTATGTAGGGCAGCATGTTCAGCAGCTCAGTGGTTTAACAGTTGCACAGGTAAAGGTTTCCATGACATTAAGGAAAACCTTAATGGAAGCATGTACAACTAGGAAGCATGTACAAGCATAAATATAGGCTGAGTATCCCTTATCCAAATTATTGGGGCTATGAAGCATACTCATGTATAGCTTGCATTCTATTTCTCTACAGCTTACTAGTCCAAACGTATCTCCCTCTACGTTCCGCCTTGTAGTTAAAGATCAACCTGAAGGCCCTGATCTCAGTCCCACCAGCTTCGCAAATGTGCCTGGTGGGGACGAGGGACAGGGCCTTCTCGGTGGTGACCCCCTGCCTGTGGAATTCGCTCCCCAGTGAGATCAGGTCAGCTTCATCCCTCCTTTCCTTTAGGAAGAAACTGAAATCATGGTTTTGGAACCAGGCTTTTGTCCAGCAGGTATCACAGCATTTTGGATATCGAACTGGACTACATGATTGTGATAATAATGTTTTCACTGTTTTTAACCTATTGTTTTGTTTATTGTTTTATATTGGTGTTATATTTGTCATATTTGTTGCAGCATCGAATTGTTGCCAGTGTAAGCTGCTCTGAGTCCCCCCTCTGGGGATTGAGAAGCGTGGGGTAGAAATAAATAAATAAATAAATAAATAATGTTTTGGATTTCAAATTTACCTGTGTTTGCACATATGAACTTAGTAAGGTAAAACAGTTGCTTCCAAATGCATAGAAGGCATTTTGATCCTATTTATGCTGCCCTCTCGGCTTCTTTCAGCCCAGGGGAGGGTGTTCTTACAATGGGAAGTGACCCAGAAGTCACTCATTACATGCTAGAGCTAGTTCAAGTGGAGAGACCCTTTTGGTACAGACTCCTTTGTCCTCTTCAGAATTTCTTGGATACTATTGATTTCCCTAAAGCAAACAGATTGTTGCTGTCTTTGAGACGCTTCAGGGTAAGGTGCTTTTGAAATGTCCCTGGGGAAAAAAATCAACAGAGGTCATCTTTTCAAAAGGCAGACAGATCGATTTCCCAGCTTTGCTCACAAAGCACTTTTCACGGAGACAGCCAGGGTTGTAAATGAGACCAGATATTGGCAAATAAAAAGGCTTTGGTCCCAAGGGGCTATTCACCACAAGAACATGACAATTAGCTTTTTTTTTTAACAAAAAGCAAAATTAAAGTATGAGGATGGATTTACAAGTCATACAACATGTAGCAATGAATATCAATTATCTGGAGGGCATCGCCATGTGGAAGGAGATGAATAACTCTAGTGGTGTTCCTGTCAGTTTCATGAGATCTCACACTGCTTCAGTATGAGTCACAGGAGGGCATTGTCCTGTCCACCTGGCTGTTTTCTACCCACTTGGTCAGATGATCATCTAGCAAGGAGGACTCATTTGATTGACTCTACACACCCATCCAGCTTAGGTATGAACAAGGGCACTATACAACATGAGACTTCATGAACATTTCTTATGAGCATTGCTCATTTATCTAGAAGATTACGTATGCAAGGTTTATATGACATCAGAAAGTACAGTTGCAAATGTATTATTATTATTATTATTATTATTATTATTATTATTATTATTTTGTCATGTCAGGAGCGACTTGAGAAACTGCAAGTCACTTCTGGTGTGAGAGCATTGGCCGTCTGCAAGGACGTTGCCCAGGGGACGCCCGGATGATTTGATATTTTTATCATCCTTGTGGGAGGCTTCCCTCATGTCCCCGCATGAGGAGCTGGAGCTGATAGAGGGAGCTCATCCGCCTCTCCCCGGATTCGAACCTGTGACCTGTCGGTCTTCAGTACTGCCGGCACAGGGGTTTAACCCACTGCACCACCGGGGGCTCCTATTATTATTATTATTATTATTATTGACACAAAAGTGCAGTATGTCACAGCAAACGAGATCTATTATTATATTTATTTATATCATGTTTTCTCCCTCTATTTGCCAGTTATCAATCAGTCTGATGGCCATCATTTTGGTTTTTTTTATGTTTAACTGCAACCCAGCTTTTGCACTTTCTCCTTTCACCTTGGTTAGAAGGCTCCTGAGATCCTCCTTATTTGGCCATCAAAGTGGTATCATCTGCATATGTTTCTTCCAGCAATTTAAGCCAATGGTTATACTACCACAAATCATCAAGAGGATTTCAATGTGTTACAAGTAAGGCCCTCTTCTTAAAAAAAAGGGCAAATGACATTATATTTCAAAGCAATGTAATGATGTAATGAGTAATGACTTCTACTTACTGTTAAAGTGTTCTATTCAAAGATTTTTAATTTTCCATGTTATTTTCTCATTAACTCCAAGGGCCCTTCCACACAGCCATATAACCCAGAATATCAAGGAAGAAAATCCCACAATATCTGCTTTTAATTGGGCTATCTCTATACACATTGCCATTTATCCCAGTACAAAGCAGAAAATGTGGGCTTTTATTTAGTTGCGTGGAAGGGACCCTAGACTTCCACAAAAGTAGTGAAAAACCAACGAGGAACAAAAAAAGTACATTTACTAATATGGTAACAAGGAATAAAAACTCTATATTTTTCCAAAACTTATTTTAAAATGGAACTTTCAAAAACTACTTATGTGAGGACTGCCTTTTGCTCCTAATAGATAAGCTAAATAAAAATATGTTTTAAATTAAAATAGACAATGTTCATTGTGGATCAGAGCTCCTGCAACATCAGTTACTAATCCCATAAACAGATGTCAGGTAAGGAAGCCTTGAATAAATATTTACACACATCTGATAAACAAAGACAGAGAAATAGCACTCACTATATTCATTAAGGTGAGGAGGTAGTTCTGCACATGTTCTTTGCCGTGGAATCGGACCACAGAGTCATCCACGCCCAGGAGCACTTCAATATTATAGTCATTTTCTCCAGCATGCCTACGTTGTCTCAACGTCTCATTCAGTTGCTGCTCTATACTGGTATAAGTGGAGTCCAGACTGCTCCGGCCTCGAAGATCAGATTCTGAGGAGTTAGAAAAGAAAAGTTCAGTTATGCCTGTTAGTATGTTGATGTTGTTGTTGTTGTTGTTGTTGTTGTTATTCTAGTATTTCTACCCCGCCCTCTCAACCCCCAAGGGGGGACTCAGAGTGGCTTACAACCGGCACAATTCGATGCCACATTCAACAAATTTAAAATATAACAATTATAAATAGTTAAAACATTCAAATAATACAATAACAACTAGAAAGAAAAGCCAATCTAGTGGCCAACGTTCACCGAGTTCTAAAATCCGTAAGTCCATTCAGCATTATCATTGACACTATCATAATCCTTTCCAAACTCTGGTCGTCATTGCCTTGTCGTTCTGCCAGATTACCCAAAGGTCTGGTCCCATATCCATGTTTTCAACTTCCTTCTGAAGGAGAGGAGGGATGTCGATGACCTAATTTCCCCGGGGAGTGAATTCCACAGGCGAGGGGCCACCACCGAGAAGGCCCTGTCCCTCGTCCCCACCAGGTCTCACTTGTGATAAAGGTGGGGCTGAGAACAGGGCCTCCCCAGGAGATCTTAAACTCCGAGATGGGACGTAGAAGGAGATACGTTCGGACAGGTATGCTGGGCTGGACCCGTATAGGGTTTTATAGGTCAAGACCAGCACTTTGAATTGTGCTCGAAATTGGATCAGCAGCCAGTGGAGCTGACATAGCAGAGGGGTGGTATGCCCCCTGTATGACGCTCCGGTGAGTAATCTGGCTGCCGCCCTTTGGACGAATTGAAATTTCCGAACAGTCTTCAAAGGCAACCCCACGTAGAGCGTGTTGCAGCAATCTATTCGGGATGTAAGAAGAGCGTGGACCACTGTGGCAGTAGAGAATGTTGACAGTAGAGAATGACTCCCTTATCTATGGATTCAGTATCCATGGATTCACTTACCCCATGCTCCAAATAATATTATTTCCTTGAAGAGTTTGTGGACTCTCTAGGTCAGGGGTCCTCAAACTATGGCCCGGGGACCGGATACGGCCCTCCGAGGTCATTTACCCGGCCCTTGCTCAGGGTCAACCTAAATCTGAAACCACTTGAAAGCACACAACAACAACAATTCTATCTCATCAGCCAAAAGCAGGCCCACACTTCCCACTGAAATACTAGTTAGTTTATATTTGTTAAAATTGTTCATTTTAATTATTGTATTGTTTCTAAGTGTTTTTTGAACTACAAATAATATATGTGCAATGTGCATAGGAATTCATTCATATTTTTTTCAAATTATAATCTGGCCCTCCAACACTTTGAGGGACTGTGACCTGGCCCTGTGTTTAAAAAGTTTGAGGACCCCTGGTCTAGGTCCTCTACTGTGATTCTAGCCAACGTATAGTTAAAATAAAGGGGTTGCTATTATCTGCAGTTTTGGGTTTCCATGGAGGGTCTTAGAATGTATTCCCCATTTATTTATTTATTTTATTGTATCAGGAGCAACCAGACATTTGTATTACATTTTTAACAAAGCAAAACAAACAAACAAAACACAAAGTTTGCAAGCTTGGTAATTGAGTAAATGTCCTTTGACCAGTATCTGGCCACTTGGAGTGCCTCTGGTGTTGCTGCAAGAAGGTCCTCCATTGTGCATGTGGCAGGGCTCAGGTTGCATTGCAGCAATTCGTCAGTGGTTTGCTCTTCGCCACACTCGCATGTTGTGGATTCCACTTTGTAGCCCCATTTCTTAAGGTTGGCTCTGCATCTCGTGGTGCCAGAGCGCAGTCTGTTCAGCGCCTTCCAAGTCGCCCAGTCTTCTGTGTGCCCAGGGGGGAGTCTCTCATTTGGTATCAGCCATTGATTGAGGTTCTGGGTTTGAGCCTGCCACTTTTGGACTCTCGCTTGCTGGGGTGTTCCAGCGAGTGTCTCTGTACATCTTAGAAAACTATTTCTTGATTTAAGTCATTGACGTGCTGGCTGATACCCAAACAAGGGATGGCCGGAGATGTCACTGCCTTGGTCCTTTCATTATTGGCTGCTACTTCCCGGCGGATGTCAGGTGGTGCAATACCGGCTAGACAGTGTAGTTTCTCCAGTGGTGTAGGGCGCAGACACCCGTGATAATGCGGCATGTCTCATTGAGAGCCACATCCACTGTTTTAGTGTGGGGTTTTTTTTTCATGTTTTTTTCAAATTATAATCCGGCCCTCCAACAGTTTGAGGGACTGTGACCTGGCCCTCTGTTTAAAACGTTTGAGGACCCCTGGTGTAAAGAGTAGAAGTCTGAGTATTAAACTACAACTCTGGAGAATATTTATTATTTATTTATTTCAAACATTTGTACCTCGTCCTTCTCAATTTCCTGCTTTACTAAGGATAAGTCACATACTCTCAGCCCCAGAAAGTCTCATGATAGATTTGACTTAGGTTGCCATAAGTTGGAAACAACTTAAGACACACAAGATAGAGACTTGAGAGAGAGAGTTTGCATCTTTCTGTCTGTCTGTCTGTCTGTCTGTCTGTCTGTCTATCTATCTATCTATCTATCTATCTATCTATCTATCTTTCATTCATTCATTCATTCTATATTATATTAATTATTTTTCCAATATTTGTTGGCACAGCCCTTTTCTTCAAATATGTATTTGTACAGCCCCACAAAGAAGTGCAAAGGAAATTAATATTTCAAAATAAACTCCTTTATTTTAATGCAAGTTGCCACTTTGCCACTTTTTAAGCATTGAGCATGATACCCAAACCCTTTGTGCCAATTTAGCATTTTACACCATACCAGGTGATCATCACTTCAAGCTGACAAAGTACTCGCGGGAACCCTTCATAGCTGAACACACTCCTGATTCTTTCAGTATGCCACAGCACACACACAATTGGCATCATAGAAACCCCAGTTGGAAATAATCTTTTCTGTCTGCTTACTGAATTTCATTTCAGTGACTTTAACTTGCAAAAAAATAAAAAAGATATCTCAATTTCTGCTAATTTAGCAGGAGGCTTTTTAGTCAGGTTGACAAAAACCTCCATGGCTGGGTTAAATTGAAGGTTCCTTCACATCGGATTTGCATAGGGATGGGAAAACCGCACTCCTAGAAACCTCATCTTTCCTTCTCCCCATTCACATCTGTCATCATTTTTGCAAAGATGATGCAACTCTTTCAAGCGAAGGCACTTTCATATCTTGCAAATTGTCCATCGCTTTAACACTGAACAGCTACAACCATTTGATTGCATTGCCATGGCTGCAGAATTGTGGGATTGGTCTTTGAGTGGGGTACTAGAGTTAGTACTAGACGTATGAGGTGAAATATTTCCCCTTAAATTGCAAATCCCAGCAACCTGGCAAAATGGCGCTACCAAGAAGAATCCTCCACCTTGTGTGATTATGGAGCAGAACAAACAACTTAGCATCTGTATGCTTGCCTACAGTGCCCTGCCTCATGCACAGAGGAAAAACTGTTTAAAGCTACAGACAATGTGGCCACTGTTGCCTGTTTTTAGTCCAATTTTTTTAACCGCTTGTGTTCCTTCTATTTTATCACTTTTATACGAATTTATTTATGCAATGCTTTTGGCACAAAATAAATACAATTCTGTTAAGTGGAGGTACACTAATACTGATTGTGCTGGTACAGCTGTACCAGGAGCTCCAATTCTGTTTGCTTTGCATTAAATGTTTGTTTGCAATCCCGGGCTTGGGATTTTGCAGCAGGGTGGCTTTCTGCTATAGTTTGCAATCATAGGGCAAGCCACCTGTCAATTATAGTTAGGTTCCCTGGTCCCGCCCCTTTTTGAGTTTTGGAGGGAATAGGAGCCTTTTTGAGTCAGTTCTCACAGAGAAGCCTTTCGCACAGGACATAAAACGAAGAGCTCCTGTAGAAAGCTTTGTCTTCTACAGCTTGGCCGGGGAGAAAAAGCTCAACAGCTTGGCCAGGGTTATACAGCCCACAGCTTGGCCAAGGATCATACAGCCTTACAGCTCCTTTTGCTGAGGGACTTCAGCCAGACATCACAGCAACCTGAACTCCTTCTTTTTTCCTGGAAGTCTACAAAGCTCTGCTTGGCAAGGGTTGCTCACGGAAGCCAGATGCAGTTGGTACTGGGTGCAGGGGCTCCATGCCAACAGAGGAAAAGACAGACTGCCCAGATTAGAAGTTAAGGATCTCCCCATTAGTTAATTACAGTTAAGAAGATAGTGCCTGTTCCCAGTGAACAAGATTGCAAGAACCAATAGACTGTTAAGAAAGCTTGAAAGTACCTGTTTGTTTTCACCAATAAAGAACTTTGCTGGACTTACTTTAAACCTCTACAGAACTTTGTTTTGGGAAGGTCCAAGGGCCTTTAATCTGAGGCAGCCCCGGTGTCCCGTTGGGCACACAGAATTTATGTCCTGTCTACAGTCATGTTCACAGGCCCAGCGTGCGACAGCACACTGATATATAACTACTAATTTGTGATTATCTGCATGCATCTTCATTCTTTAAAAAAATCAGTAAATTTTAAATTTTAAAAATTAGCGCGATTGTGCTTTAGCAAACATAATTATTTTTGAAGTAGTTTAAGCATCCAAGAACCAGTTGGGATACAAAGAATCATGAATGTCACGTGCCAAGAGCACCACTAATACAACGTAGGTACAATTTCTTTGATCCATGAAGACAAAACAGCCCCCCAAAAACCCATTATTGACAGCATCATTTCATGCCGCTTGCCAAGTAGTCAGCTACTACTGCAGTTATGATTTCCAAAAAGTAATACTTTCCTGTTTCTCAATCCTAACAAAAATATTTACTTTGTGTTACTTAAGAGAACCCACATCTGAATGTTTCTTATTCAGTAGCTCAAGGCGCAGCTGCAGCCAGACTTTGAACCATGTGATATTCCTTCTCGCCCATTTAGTGAATTTACCCATCTAACCATCAAAGCAACTGTAAAAGTTATAGTCCCACCGCAGGGAGTGTGCAATTGTCCTTCATCAAACTGCAACCATCATATCATGTAGTTGCATTTCTGCTACTAGAAAAATATAT